GTACTTCATCTCATGATGAGAACTAGACTTTTTTTGTTTTTGAGATGGAGTTTTGCTCTTTTTGCCCAGGCTGGAGTGCAATGGCGTGATCTCAGCTCACCTCAACCTCCACCTCCTGGGTTCAAGGGATTCTCCTGCCTTAGCCTCCCAAGTAGCTGGGACTACAGGCATATGCCATCATGCCTGGCTAATTTTTGGAGTTTTTGGAGAGATAGGGTTTCTCCGTGTTAGTCAGGCCAGTCTCGAACTCGCAACCTCAAGTGATCCACCCTCCTTGGCCTCCCAAAGTGCTGAGATTACAGGCGTGAGCACTGTACCCGGCAGAGAACTAGACTCTTTAAGTATAGGATGAATATGCTATTTCCATCTTATCACAAAAAAGTTTTAAATATTTAATTTGTCCATTTTGCTAGCAATAAATCTACATAAACCTCAAAGCTTTCTTTAAGAAGCTCAGTGCTTAGGATGCAGACTTGAAGAATTCTTACACAGTTTCTAGGTATGTATGGCCATCTTGTGTTAAAAGCAGAGAAATTCCAGGCATAGAAAAGACATAAAATCATGGGTAGGACTGGGAGCAAGAATCAAATCTAAGCTGCTTCACAAATGTGTCCAGGCTGTTTCCCCACAGGAATTTAAGTAAAATTATTATTCTTTAAAGGAGTTATTCATTATATCATAATGGCATAATGAATAACTAATACAGGGCTGCTCAAAGGTCTGCTTTTTATCTCTTATTCACTGAGGTATTATAAAGACAAAACTGCTAAGTTCTGAATTCTGTATTAAGAGCATATTACAAATAATTGATGAACTATGTGATTATATTTTTGAATTATTTAGAGCTCTAAAGCATTTTAGAGAAGCATTACATTATAACAGAAGATAAAAATTACTATGATTATAAAAAAATTATATTGGAAGTCACACTTAGTAGTAAGTTGGGTACGAAGAGAAGGCACCAAATATTATCCACCCATTTATGTATATAAGCCTTCCCTAAACTTTTCACAAGTGAAGACTCTTAATTTTACTTCAAGTTTTAAGATCATTGGCTGGAAAGAGGATGGGAAGAAGGGAAAGCACTGCTGAGGAGAGTCCCAAGTGCTGTACCAGAAAGCGACCACGGCAGCTGTTAACAGTAACACTCTCCTTTGCCATGGCATCATGGCTGTAGTCAGCTGATTTTCTCTCTGCCATAGGAAATTGCTAGAAGATCAATTAGATAAAGTATTAGGATCAACTGGTAGGAAGTATCTCCTATTTGGCCATTATTTCTTGGCTCTATTTTCCCACCTTAACCATGTACAGGCATGAATACAAGATGCAAGATTATAAATTCCTCATCACATAATGTTTAACAGTGCTTGAACGCAGTGGATACCTTGAAATATTTTCTCACCAGTAAAGTCTTTCTTGGTTGATGGGCAGTTGTTGTCCATTTCAGAGCCATGTTTTAAAATGTCAATATGCAAATGTTCCTTCCTTGCCCCAACTTCTACTTTTGTTCCGATTTCTTCAGATTCTAAAAAGGTACCCTCATACTTCTCGTTGTGTTCTGCATGTTTGGCTGAATGTAGTTTGTTTATGATGCCAGAAGTTTTTTGTTCAAAACAAAAATTTGATCCTGAACTCAATGATCTTTCTTTTACAAGGCTCTTTTCCTCGTTGGTCACACTGAGGGTCTCACCACATGCTCCAGCATCAGAAATGCAGAAAGTTCTATCAAGCTGACTATCTTGTGCAACAGGCTCACTTTCAGCATCTGTTTTATTACACACAGATTCTCTTTTGCTATCACTTTGAGCAAAACCTGAACAGTTCTTCCTGCATCCTTTTTTAGTTTTCTTCATTGGGGTTCCTTTCAAAATTGTCACCTTTCCTTTGGGCTTTCTAACCTTTCTGAAGTACACATCATCAATATTCTCATCTTCTTTCAAGAGCAAATGAGTGGAAGTAACCGGCAACTCTGAACTACTTCTTGGCGACATAAACACATCCTCTTTGCACTTGCTTCGTGTCCTGAGGTTCCGGTTTGAATTGTTACTTTGATTTTGAGGATTGGATGTCAGGACTGCCATGCTGCATTCTTTATATTTTGACTTGATGCCCCTTTTAGAAAGTACAGTAAAATCAAAATCTTCTGGCTTAAGAGAAGTCTCTCCATTTTTGTGAAGATAATTAGCAAGTGAACTTTTGGATCTGAACTTCAGTCCTTGTGGGCTAGAAAATGATATTAAAGGAGACTTACTGCTAGTAAATAGAAGGGACTTTAAAAAAAATTGGATCACGTTTCAGATTTCTAATTAATTTCCAAATGTTGTCATGGGCGTCTGTTATTTAAAAATAAAAAAGAGTGATAAATGGCACTTTTAAATGGTTTCCTCTATGACCATATAAAATAAATTTATAAATATAACTTAAATGCAACCTACCCATTAACCAGTCACAGTATGAGGGACAAAATGTATGTAATTTTCCCCAAATTACTTGATATAACTAAATAGCACCATTGAAAGAATAGAATCTGCAAAGGTTTTATGGTAAAAATATAAAGAAGCCAAGATTCCTACTATGCTCCCACTATCTGCCCAGACAAAATTATTTGGCTGTACTACCTTTACCATCTTATATGCTTACCTGATAAAGTATACGTCAAATCTTCCTGCTGTTTTACCAAATAACCTTTGCTTCACAACTCTTTCCCATCCACCCGGGGCAGACTTATGGCATACCATCCCTGCAGTACCACCACACTGAGCAGAAGCGATGGGTTCTTGAAGCAGGGGATTACATTCACTGCTTCTTTTCATCATCATTTGTTCCTCATCTTCTCCCACTCTTTCCAATTCCACAGCACCATCTTCCTTGCTGGAAAAAGAAAGTCTAAGTGATTAACTTATTTAAAATTTATCTTCAACTGCCTGCTCAGTTTTAATCCATGACAATTTGGGAAACATACAGATTTTTCACATTGAAATGGAGGAGACCGGCTGGGTATGGTGGCTCACACCTATAATCCCAGCACTTTGGGAGGCCGATACTGGTGGATCACCTGAGGTCACGAGTTTGAGACCAGCCTGATCAAAATGGTGAAACCCCGTCTCTACTAAAAATATAAAAATTAGCCAGGTGTGGTGGTAGGTGCCTATAGTCTCAGCTACTCGGGAGGCTGAGACAGGAGAATTGCTTGAACCAAGGAGGCAGAGGTTGCAGGGAGCCAAGATTGTGCTACAACTGTACTCCAGTCTGGGCGACAGAGTGAGACTCCATCTCAAAAATAAATAAATAAATAAAATGGGGGAGATTAAAGTCAGTATGGACCAGTCTTATGCTATGGGAGTATTTTCCTATCCTCCAAAAGTTTCCCATATGCTACAGCACAGGTTAAAAAGTGTTGGAAATATCTGTACAACAAAAAGGTCAAGCTAGAAACTTTTTGGATTAATCACTGAGTAGGGCTATTATAAGGATTTCTAGGGGTACTTAGCATAAATTTGAGAATATGAACCAATAGCTGAGCTCTTAACCTGAGCTCTTAAGCAACAGGAAATGCTTAAATATATCAGTCAGTCATGCTCACTTCTCTGTAAATAAGTGAGGTAAAGGTCTTACATGATGTAAAATTTCTGGAAGAGAGTGTCTATCACTCTCATCAGATGTAACCCTCCAGAAGGTAAATAATTTCTGATATAGAATTTTCGAATCTCCTTCATTCTTGATCCTCATAGTAACCTAATAAGGTTTACTCTCAATTTATTGATAAAATTGAGTGAAATCGATAACATGGACAGAAAGGTTAAATTACTTGCAAAACAGACAGCAGAACCCAAGTCTACCAAATCTTGGTTAATACTTCTCCCACATACTATTATTGAAATAAGCTGGCAAGGCAAGGTGGCTCATGCTTGTAATACCAGCACTTTGGGAGGAGGAGACGGGAAGATCACCTGAGCCCAAGAGTTTGAGACCACCCGGGGCAATAAAGAGAGACCCGTCTTTACAAAAAGTGAAAAAAACAAGTAGCCGGGCATGGTGGCGCATGCCTGTCGTCCCAGGTACTAAGGAGGCCGAGGCAGGAGGATTGCTTGAGCCTGGCAGGTCAAAACTTCAGGGAGCTATGACTGTGCCACTGCACTCCAGCCTGAGTGACAGAAAAATCTCAAATAAATAAATAAATAAAAAACCCTACCAAAAAACTAAACTAAAACTTCATGAAAGTTCCAGTGTGTCTTCTATGATGAAAACATAATTTAAAAATGAAAAAAAGAAAATTTTCAGTCAAATGTATCCTAATCACTAAACTATAGCTTGTAAAAGGTGGTGGATGGTTCTGGGGAGATCATCTAACCCAACTTCTTTTCTACAAATAGGGAAACTATGCAAGAACTAGAATTAGAACCAAGATTTTCTGTTGTAATTTGGGGTAAAATAATTTTGAGGAGCTGGACAGATCTTTGAAATAATATTGTTTACAATTTTAGAGATAAAGATAATGAAGCCTGGTGGAATCAGCAAGAACTCTTAAGAGACTGGGGCTCAAATCCCAGCTCTGCCAACTGTATAAGTTTAACAGCAAGTTACTTAACATCTCAAAGTCTCTGTAAAAAAAACTAAAAAGAAGGTGATGCCTCTTTCAAGGTAGTTCTGAGGATTACATTTTGAAATAAGTAGGTAAGCCTTAACCTCCTATCACACACGTTCTCAAATGACTTCCTAGGATCCTCCAACCCAAGCGTAGCTCTTGCACAAAACCTCCCGGCTCCCCCCAGCTCCCTAGGCATCTTGGATGAGGAAGTCGGGCGCACCCCAGGGCTGATCCCACAGGAAAAGCATCTGAGCTTCAGCCCCAGCTCCTAGTAACTAAACCCGTGGGCCTTAATAAGGTCTCTGCCGACCCTCTGTCAAAGGTTAAAAAGGCCCACACACAGTCCACTCTCCCAGTCCAATTTTACAGGTGGTAAACTGAGCCCGGAAAGGGGACAATAACTTGCCGGAGGTCACACGGCGGGTCTGGGACTAGGCGCTCACTAGAGGAGACTGCACGGGCAGCTCCGCGGTCCCCCAGGCTCAGGCTCTCCATCCCAGCCGTGCTTATCGAACAGGCTCCAGCTGTAGCAACTAGCCGAGCGCTACGACGGCCTAGATGTGGGGCAGAGTTAGATGTGAAACCTCCTCAATGCGCGGCGATAGGCTGCAACCGAAGTCTGAAGATTGCGAAAGCGCCACGACGCCGCCGCTGCTCTTCGGCCGCCCACTCGGCTACAGCCACCATTTCCACGCTCCACCAATCGAATCCATGGTTGAGGAAGACGCACCGCCCCCACACGCCCTACCAATCGCGCGCGCTCCGGTTGCGCCGACGCCTTGTAGGCTCCGGTTCCACCTTTGCTTTTGCTCCTTTGCCGGCCTTCCCTTTCGGACTTGCGCAGTCGGAGGAAGGCGAGCTCGCGCGCAGCTTACCGCGCATGTGCGTTGCCAGAGGTAACGCAGGTAGCCAAAGTGGCTTGCGGAGTGGCTACCGTTACTGGTTACTGAGGCGGTTGCCGAGACTGTAGCAGAGACGGGGAGGAGGAGCCCGAGGCGTGAGGGAATCCGCGATGAGGGCCGTGTTGACGTGGAGAGATAAAGCCGAGCACTGGTGAGTAGCGGGGCGATCCGAGAGGAGCGGGAGGCCGAGTCCCCACGGGGACTGAGCGAGCCGCTGCAGCGCGTTTGAGGGGGCAGCGGGCCTGCTGCCTGGGCCGAGGGCACTGAACCCCGGCTTGGAAGACTGCAGGTTCACCCTCCCACCCTTGGCAGTTGGAGAAAATCCCGAGGTTTGGAGAGCGGCAAAGGGAGGTGCCACGCCGGTAGTGGCCGGTGGATCTCTGCCTTCACGGTCTGGCCTTGTCGCTGCCTTGGGCTCATCTCACACCCACGACACAGCACGAAGCTGCTCAAACTTCACAGTTCTTGCCACATCCACGTAGTGCCCATAGTCTTGTTTACTTGACGTTTTTCTCTCAAGTGTCTCATTTATTTTATCTTGATTATAATTTCACATTTTACAAGGAAACTTTATTACTCCATTGTGAAAAACGGTGTCACTTGACCTAAGTGTAAGATAAAATCTGCGTCTCTTGCTCTAAGTGTAAAAGTAAAACTTAAAGTAGGGAGAAACAAATCTGAAGAAACTGTATCTAGCTATCGTTGCTAGGGTGCCTTTAAACTAGAGGTCTGAAGTCTAAAACTGGAGATTGGCAGGTATGATCAGAGAAGTGCTCAAAATGAGCATCAAACATAGTCTCTACCAATTGGGAAGTTTGGAAAAGAATTGAAGTAGAATGACCTTGTCACCTTTTGATTCAGTATTTAATGTCCTTTTCCATTTTTACCACCTAAATCTGTCACATAACAGTCTATTTTGGCATAACCAGTCCATTTTGGCATTTCAAATTCTCGGCCTGATTTTGAAAATCATTCAGCATCGTTGTGAAGCCTCTGTTTTGGCCACTGGAGCAGGTTAGTTGTCTTGCTTCTGTGCATTCTAACGTCTTTCTCTGTGTAAAGCATGCTGTCTCTTCTCATCTTAATGGATATCCTGAACATCTTAAAGCCTTACGTTGGAGATGGGTCCTCTCTTTTGTGCTTGACACTAGTGGTAGCTGACACTATGTGCCAGGCGCTGGCTAAGCACTTCATATCGTTTATTTTGTTGTCTCTTCACCAGTCTCTGAGGGAGGTACTATAATTTCCTCTATTTAATATGTGAGGAAACTGAAGCACAGAGAGGGTGGATAATTTGCCAAGGTCACACAGTGAGTGGTGGAGCCAGCTTTCAAGCTTAGGTCTTCCTCACTCCAAAGTCACTGCTCTCAGCCACTACATTAATTTTTCCTTATGTTACAGAGGTGGCAAACTCAAATGTCTGTAGGTGACAGGTAACATAAGTAGATGTTTATTTGCATCTTAAACACTAGGAATTGTGTTTTCCCTAGGAATAGTCTTGTATTCTACACCCCATTTTTCTTGAAACACACAGCCCTACCAGACTTTCATTTCTACTTTTAATAGAGATTTGAGTTTTTAAAAATCATTTTACCTTTGATTTATTATGAATGTACCTATAGCACAAGCTGATAATAGCTGGCAACTAAACATTTGGCTTCAATGTCAGAGAGTAATAGAGAGTGGCAAGAAGTATGGCAAACTGCAGAGCTCATGCTCGCCCTAAAAGGGGCAGCTGCTGCTCAGCTCTTGCCAGTTACCACCATGCAGGAATTTGGCCTAGTGTGCTGGTGCTTCCTGTTTTTACCAGAAGCTAGAAATCAGGGTTTTTATGTGAAATGGCCTAATTTTTAAGTGTTAGCATCTAATCTGAAAAAAAATAAAACGCCATGTGAGCCAAACAAAATTTGCCGGCTAAATGCAGCCTCATTTGCTCTGTTTTCAACCCCTGGCCTGGAATTTTGTTCATTTCTCTCTTGTGGTGCTTCCAGAATCTATTTAGTGTAAGTTAATTTTTTAGATCTCTTTATTCCAGAAGTCTAATAAACCCTTTAAAGGCAATGGCTGTGTCTTACTCATTTCCAAATTATCCCAGAGCCTAGTCAGGTCAGTGGTGGTTGTTACTATGGATAGTAATAAAATATTAGGGGTGTGTGTGTGTGTGTGTGTGTGTGTGTGTATAAATATATAATGAAATACTGTGGGTAGATGTATTCATAAATGAATGAATAAGTGAGTGAATGAATTATGAAGCAAGATTGGTTGTCTGGTTTTTGGCCCCTTTCTGGTTTGAAACAACCTATTAGGATAAGGGATGTAGGGGTTCTATAGACCATCAATCCTGATGACTGCTAGATATACCAGCTGATAGCCCAGAATGAAAACAAAACTAAAAACTTAAAAGATAGATAATAGAACTAAAAAAATTCTGGATGTCAAAGATTAGTCCTCAACAACTAAACCAGCCATTGTCTCCCAGTCTGCTCCTTTGTTTCTATTTTAACCTTTACATAGCAGTAGGAACTCTCTCTTTCAAGACCTGCTGCTGTGATCCTGTTACTCTACTTCTCATAAACTAGAGTGATTCCCAATTACTTTCCATGTCAAATTGTGCATTTTGCTAAAGGGTCCTCCTGACCCTCCTCCCCAGTGTTGCAACATTTAAATTTATATTTTTAGGTTGAGCTGAAAACTCTGTTTTCTTACCCAAAGATCCTTCCCTGATGCTCCCTTATTCTATGAACTCTCTTGTTTTCTCCCTTAAATTCACAGCTCCAGGTTTGTCTCAGCCAGGATGCCTTATTAGGCTAGCATACCATATTCTAGTCAGGCTAGCATCTGCTGTAACTATTCATTCATGCCGGCAAGTATTTACTGAGTACTTGCTATAGGCCACATATCTTTATACATGTTATGTTTAATCTCTACATCATGTGAGATTAGAATTTTTATCTCATTTACAAATGAAGAAATTGAGATTTAATGAGGTGACATTATTTGCCTAAGATTACAAAATGAGTTAAGTGGGGCTGGGTCAGATTATGCAGGAGTTGAAGAGGCACTATGGGACTTCAGTTTACAGTGAGGTGGGTGCAGGGTTGTCAGAGGACAATTTGCAGGATTCCTCTGTATCTCTGCAATGGAATCTGACAGTGTATCTTTTGAAAATATATGTTTTTTATATAGAGAGGCAGGTGGAGAGAGAGAACCATCCTACAGTAGAATAGACTGCCTGCAAATGAGTGAACTCCCACCCCTGGAGTGTTCAAGCAGAGGCTAGATGGCTATCTATAAGGAATTCTTGCCCTAATGGGGCAGTTGGACTTCATGACAAGGTCTAGAGTCCTTTCCAATTCTGAGTTTTTACATAAAATAAATAGAAGATCAATATATATTTGTTGGCTGGGCGTGGTGGCTCACGCCTGTAATCCCAGCACTTTGGGAGGCCGAGGTGGGTGGATCACGAGGTCGGAAGTTCAAAACCAGCCTGGCCAAGATGGTGAAACCCCATCTCTACTAAAAATACAAAAATTATCTGGGTGTGGTGGCAGGTGTCTTTAATCCCAGCTACTCGGGAGGCCGAGGCAGGAGAATGGCTAGAACTGGTAAGAGGGGGGCTGAGGTTGCAGTGAGCCAAGATCACACCACTGCACTTCATCCTGGGTGACAGAGCAAGACTCTGCCTCAAAAAAAAAACAAAAACAAAACAGAAAAAAACACATCAGATTGCTTTGGTTTGAATTTTGGCTCCACTTCCATTCAGTAGCACTTTATTTTCAGGCAAGTTATTTAACTTCTCTGTGCCTTAATTTTCTTATCTATGAGACCAGTATATGGTTGGTTTGAGGTTAGCATGAGTTAATAAATGTAAAGCATTTAAACAGTACTTGGCATACACAATAATACATGTGTTCAATAAATGTTAGACACTGTTATTATTAAAGTATGAAGGATAACAAATTTGACATACTCAGCAGTAATTGAAGGAAGCAGAAGGCAGCATAGCATGATAATTACAAGCACAGACACTAGAGTCAGACCTGAGTTGAAATCCTAGCCCTGGCACTTGCTAGTTGTGTGACACAGGCAAAGTACTGGACCTCTCTGGGCCATGGTATCCTCATCTACAAAACAAAGTGATCATTCCTACCTCACAGAATTATTGTGGAGATGAAATGAAATAACACCTTTTAAGAGCTCAGCAGGTGCTGTTTGGAATAAGAGCTCAAAGTACTGTCACTGAGAGTGTACTTTTAGGTTACTGACAAAAATTTGGTTTTTAAATTACTGGCGTAAACCAAAAATAAAATTCAAAGGACCCCAACCCCCAACCATCTGAATGGACTTCCTCCTCAACCAGGGCTCTTTTAAAAATTTAACCTGAGATACTGTTTCAGGCCATGATGGAAGTAGGGGTCAAATATGCCTCAGTATACCTCTCTGGCATTAACATCAACACCAATTTTAAGTATGATAAACTTAAACTATCCTCTCTAAAGCCTGGTACCTCAAGGCTTCCTCTGCAAATAGTAACTTGGGCTGTACAATCCTTTTTCTTAACCTAGATATGCCTTTCTGTTGATCCCAGGACTTTAGATAAACTTGACCAATTATCAACCAGAAAAATTTTAAATCAGCCTATAAGCTGGAAGCCCCCTGCTTCAAGTTGTTCCATCTTTCTGTACCAAACCAATGTATTTCTTAAATGTATTTGATTGAAGTCTCATAAAACCAAGCTGCACCCTGACCACCTTGGGCACATATTCTTAGGATCACCTGAGGGCTGTGTCATGGGCTGTGGTCACTCATATTTGGCTCAGAATAAATCTCTTTAAATGTTTTATAGAGTTTGATTCTTTTTGTTGACATTGGCAAGTTTATTCTATGCTAAACTTCTACTATAGGTTGGGTTTTTGTTGTTGTTGTTTGTGTGGTTTTTTGTTTTGTTTTGTTTTTAGCAACTTCAGCAGTAAGTACACCCTTAACAATAGTCTATTTTGACAGGGCTTGACACGTTTTTAACACAGTTTTACTAGAGTCCCTGGAACCAGTGAAATCCTCTGCCTGGGGCATTTGAGAATCTTTGTAATATGGCTCCAGCCCATTTTTCTAGCCTCATCTCTTCATGTTGTAGCAACATCTCGCACATAGCCACACGTTTCAGTCAAATTAGATTATTTTGATTACTTGTGTTGATGAAAAGAGTCAAACTGCAAAATATTTTAAGAGATTTATTTTGAGCCAAATATGAGTGACCACAGCCCTCAGGAGGATCACAGAACATGTGCCCAAGGTGGTTGGGGTGCAATTTGGCTTTATACATTTTAGGGAGGCATGAGACATCAATCAAATACATTTAAGAAATACATTGGTTTGGTCCCGAATTGTGAGACAACTCAAAGTGAGGACTTCCAGGCTATAGGTAAATTTAAACACTTTTTAGCTGACAATTAGTTGAGTTTGTTTAAAAACTTGGGATCAACAAAAAGTAATGTCTAGTTAAGGTAATGTATTGTGGAGACCCATGTGAGGGGAAGGAAGCCTTTGGGTACTAGGCTTCAGAGAGACTAGGTTGTAAAATATTTTTTCTTGTTTGTTTGTTTGTACCCGCCCCCCCCGCCCCCCAACGGAGTCTTGCTTAGTCACCCAGATTGGAGTACAGTGACACAATCACAGCTCACTGCAACCTCTGCCTCCTGGGCTCAAGTAATTCTTCTTCCTCAGCCTCCAGCCTCCCAAGTAGCTAGGATTACAGACGCCTGCCACCACACCCAGCTAATTTTGTATTTTTAGTAGAGACAGGGTTATACCGTTTTGGCCAGGCTGGTCTTGAATTCCTGACTTTGTGATTTGCCCGCCTTGGCCTCCCAAAGTGCTGAGATTATAGGCATGAGTCACTGTGCCTGGCCTCAGCTTCCCTATCTATGTTTGCAGCTCAATTTTTCAGGCTGCTGTTTGTTAGAAAAAATAATTTCTCGGGCTGCTTTTTGTTAAAGGAAAGTTCCACCGAAGACTCTGTTACTCTCACTATCTGCCTAAATAATTTCTTTCTAGCTCCTTTATCACTGTGTCTTCCTCCATAGAATCCTATATGTTTTCGTGTATCTCTTAAAGCCTTTTATCAGAGTACTATTCTGTATTTCATTCAATCTAATAGGTTATTGATTATAATATACCATTGTTTTGTGTATCAATAAGAAAGCAAAAAATGCTGCCAGTAACAGTGAAACATCAATTATGAGACACATCCTAACCTCAGAGGTGAGAAAATGTGAAACCAAAAATGTATGCTTTAGAATTGATGACATAGGGTGTAGTTCTTTGTGAAAGTGCCTGATTCACACCTCTCTGGATGGTAATTTCCCTGAGGGGAGGGAGAGACTATGATCCATTCACATCTGCTGGTGCCTAGCACCTAAGAGAGACTCAGTATCTGTAGATTTACTGGCCCTCACACAGTCTCTCAGGTTGTCTAGCTTTCATGGTATTATTATACGAGTTAGTACCCTCAACTGTCGACCCTTTGAATAATTTTTTTGTGTCTGGCTTCTGGACAAGAGGAAATTGGAACAAAGAGCTACCTACTGAGTGGATCATGATTGAATGGGTTGCTGTGGTGCAGGGGTTCAATGGAATTTGCAACAAAAATAGTCATTCTTTTTCTCCTCAGCACACACACAGTGTTTGTTAATGGAAATAAAGTTTACTTTCCTGGCTGTTAGCAGACTTTATCATTTTGGTTCCTAATTGTTTTTTTGTCTCGTCTCCTTTTTAGTATAAATGACATCGCATTTAAGCCTGATGGAACCCAACTGATTTTGGCTGCTGGAAACAGATTACTGGTAGGATTTTGTCTTCGATTCCTCTTAAAGTACTTCCCCCACCTCCTTCTTATAAGTACTCTGAAATTTGACCCTTTTTTGAGATAAAAAGGGCCAGGGTGAAAAAAACCTTCCTTGTTACTTTTTAATAGGGAAGGAAATGGTCTATTTAAAACAGGCAAGTAAACTATCAGATAGGAAGCTTTGAGACACCTATGAAAGAGTTGAAAACAATTAATCACGATGCCTTTGAAACTGGACTGGTGTCAGTTTATATTTTGTCCCCCAGAAAAATTCAAGCAACTGGACTGAAGGTGCTCTGTCCATGAAAAGTCAGATAGCCTGACCCCAACTTTTAGGCATTGGCCTACCTAAACAATTCCATATGGTTGTTGTCCTATTTTTCATATTTTCAAAGAACACAATCTCCCTCTGGAACCTATTCAGGTGTATAAAAGTAATTTTTGGAGAAACTCTTAAGTTTGACCTAAAAACCTTTGTGTGATTTCTCCTGCCTGAGTCTACTTCTTCTTCTCTGTTGTCTCTACATATGCAGACTGATTAATCTCCATTCTTTGTATGGTTAACTACATAATCTTAAAACATGGTTAAATTGTTCTGCAGACTTCTCTCCAGTGTAAACAATTTAAATCCTTTTCATTTTTCTTCATAGATTATCTTTTCCAACACTCTGTTTTGGAAAGTTTTGTCTTGATTTCTCAGATGGTGTATTTTTTAAATCTCCACAGTGATAGCCATCACAAAGCTCTCAAATATCTTAAATCCATATTACAGCCGAGTTTTATTTATTAGAGACAGGGTCGTGCTCTTTTGCTCAAGCTGGTGTGCAGTGGTGCAGTCATAAATCACTGCAGCCGCAAAGTCCTGGGCTTAAGGGATCTTCCCACCTCAGCCTCATGAGTAGCTAGGATTGTGGACACACACCAACTAGCCCACCTAATTTTTAAATTAATTTTTTTTTTTTTGGTAGAGATGGGGTTCATTTTGTTGCCCACGCTGGTCTTGAACACCTGGTTTCAAGCAATCCTCCCGCCTCAGCCTGCCAAAGTGTTGGGATTACAGGTGTGAGCTACCATGCCTGGCCTACAGCTGGGTTTTATAACATTCCCTCCTACTTGAAAACCCAGAGTTCTGTGACTTTCAAACTCTTGGTAGCAAATCTCTCTATTATGTTGATTTAGTTCACGGCTGGCACTAAAATTTAATCATGTTGTCGCTGGCTGTTTTTATGGGCTGGTTTTATTTAGGAGGGCCTGCCTTGATTGGTCATATATCCAAATTCAGGTAAGGATGAGTGTAAAGAATTTCCATGGAGTGAGTAATTGAACCTTTGGTTCTCAAAGATTTGTGTATATTCCTGATCATATAGTGCATAGACTTGGGACCTCTACTTCTTGGTCACCCAACTTTAAGTCACATTGTTTCTGGTTTTACAGTGTAGTTTTTATTGGATACAAATTTAGAATATTGACACATGTAGTGTTATAAAAACAAAAATAGCAGTAGCAATCCTGTAGGAATTCTGACTAATAGATATCACATGGATACTCTGTATTTGTCTCTTTTGCCAGGTTTATGACACCTCTGATGGCACCTTACTTCAGCCCCTCAAGGGACACAAGGACACTGTATACTGTGTGGCATATGCAAAGGATGGTAAAAGACTGCTCTGGGTTTTCATTCTCTATAATGGCCTCATCATTGTTCATTTTTCTCCTTAGTCACTTTTTAATTATTTGTAGTAAGCTAGAGTACAACTTGCAAGTTCAGAAGACAGTGAAGTTGCTTAGACTTCAGTTCAGTCATTCAATCCAGCAAGTATTTATTGAGGGCATCTACGTGCCAGCACTGTTCAAGCTGCTTGAGATATTTCAGAGAAAAAAACAATGGTCCCTCCCCTTACGGGGCTTATGTTTTATGCGGTGGTGGTGAGGAGTGAGGGAGGAAGAGAATATAAGGAAAGACATACAGTATACATAGTAAATAGGTAAATTAAGCAGTATGCTGGAAAGTGATAAGTGCTATAAAAGAAGAAAAAGTAGAGCAGAATTAGGGGAGTTGAGAATGCTGGGCAGGGCAGGGGGTTGGATGCAGGGTTGAATTAGATTAGTGAGGGTGAGCTCGTTGAGATAAGGACAGGTGAGCAAAGACTTGAAGTCAGGAGGCAGTGAGATTGTGCCAGTGGGCATCTAGGGGAAGAGGGCTCCTTGCAGGGGAAGAGCCATTGCAAAGGCCCTCAGGTGTGGCTGTGCCTGCTAGGAGCTGGATCAGAGAATCAGGGGAATTATAGGGGATGAGGATAGAGCGGTAACAGACATGGGATGGGTCAGATCAGGCTGGTTATCATAAAGATTTTGATTCTCAGTCAAAATGGGGGAACTACTGAAAGGTCAGTAGAGGAAGAATCTGATCTGATTTATATTTTAAAAGGATCCCTCTAGTTGCTGAGTTGGAAACAGACTGCAAGAGGTGAGGGTTGGAGCATCTGAGTGAGGAAGCATCATCCAAACAAGGGGTGAGGGTGGCTCAGATCTCTATGGGGGCAGAGGAGATGGTGAGAAATGATCAGACTTTGGATTTAATCGAAGGGTGGAGCCAACTGGAATGCCTGACAGCTTGAATATGGGATGTGAAGAAAAAAGAGTCAAAGTTTTTGACCTGAGGACTGAAAGGATGCCCCACCACTGAGATGAGAAAGACTGCAGGTAGAGAAAACTTATAGTTGAAGATCAGGAATTCAGTTTTACATATGCTGAAATTTGAGAAAAGTTGATGATGTAGCAGAGGGGAGAGAACTGCTGGAACAGAGTTGTTGAATAGGCAAGAGGAGGTAGGATCTAGGGCATAGATGGGATATTTGCTTTAGGTAGGGGCATGGTAGGAACTACAGAGGCCGGCAGATGGGGACAGTGTGGTAGTAGGAATCTAATAGAAATTCTCAATTCCTTCCATTTTTTTTTTTTTTTCAGTGAAGTAGGAATCAACATCAACTGAGAGTAACAATAGGGAAGAGAGGTTTCAGAAAGTTGAGGAGAAAGGAAAAAGTGTAATATCACTGCCTTAGAGAATGGGAGAGTGAGTGGACCCAGGAGGTGTAGTGGGATCCCCAGTAACATGAAGGGTTGTCTTGAAGGTTGTGATCATGAATCGAAAGTGAGATTAGTTGGTGTGATTGTTTTTTTCTCCAGCCATTTTGAGCTGTATAGTGGCAGAAGGAGTGAATTTAACCAAAGGTGGTTTTGCAAGCACATTTGAAGGTGAAGTAGGAGGGCAAGGGAGCAGAAAGTATATACAAATAAACAATTACATACATTAGCCTTGAATTGTTGACTGAATAATGAGGGGAGAGATGACAGCAATGGATTAGTAGTAGTAGTAGTAGTAGTAGTAGTAGTAGTCGGGTTGAAGGATTATTGCAGTTAGGATACCAGGTAGGTTGGGAAGGAAGGGAAGTGGTAGTCAGGGAATGGGTGCATGAAACTGAGATTTAAATTTTTAAAAAAATAAATCCATGCTACCCCACAGCATGGGATTAGTGGGAAAAACATGGGCTTTGGAATGAGACAGTTGTGAGTTCCAATCCCAACCCAAAACCAGAATTCTGTGAGCTTGAGCTGGTTATTGAGTCTGAGTCACGATTTCCTCATGTGTCAAATGGATATAAGATTATAGATAGCATTCTGTAGCCACTGCCTAGAAGTCATAAAATTGTAATGTTATAATGCTTGAATGAACCTTGAAAGTTATTCCAGTCCCAGGTTTTTAACTTCTTTTGGCTGATGGGCCTGTTTGAGAATCAGATGGAAGCTTTAGACCACTTTCTAGAAAAATGCATATTGTTCATGTATATGCAGAATTTCTTGCATGTAATTTTAGTCTGATTAGTCCATTCTCTTCACTTTATCATACATAAAGACATAGACAATTGTCCAGGCACAGTGGCTCATGCCTATAATCCTACTGTAATCTGGGAGCCTGAGTTGGGAGGGTTGCTTAAGGCAGGAGTTTGACACAGCCTGGACAACATAGTGAGACTCTATCTTTAAAAAAAAAAAAGACAAGTCATGTGTCTTGCCAAGGCCATGGCCCAAAGACAAAACTAATTTCTTGCTTCATAGTCAGGTGTGCTATACCATGGTATTCATATATTTTTGTGTGTGTGCATGCTTGAGTTCAAGTTTAGAGTAATGTTTTAGGGAGACCTGTGAGGAGGGAGCCTGGAGAGCTGAAGTGTTTCTGCGTCGTCCTAGTGGCTGTTGAGGAATGTGGGTGAGTCTAGGGCCCAGTATAAGGCCCAGCAGGTACAGAAAGCTATTGGGCCTCTGGTGTTTATAAGCATAGCAGGGCTCTTTAACCTGCAACACCATTAAGGCACTTGAGGATGTCAGAGTGTGACCTGTTAGTAGTGGCATTTGCACAGCACTTTGCGGATTCCTGTCACATATATCTCATTTGATCCAACAACCCTCTGAAGCAGGCAGCAAGGGGACTCTTATCTCTGTTCAAAGATGAGAAGACAGACTTGGAGCAATTACAGGCGATGGTGGCAGAGACAGGCCTAACCCAGTTCCTCTGACTGCAGGGCCATCGTTCTTTCTAGTGCATCATGCTGCCTCTTCATGACAGCTTTATAATGATTAAGAAGTCTTTTACTCCTCAAAGCTGGTTTTTTCCTCTTAGACCTGAAGATTGAGGTACACTGAATTCCAGCTTTGCTCTTTAAGTCTACTTGTTTCTGATTTCTCCTGTAAGTTTAATAAGTATTTAATGAGAAACCATGATATAAAAATATGTAAGACATAGTTGGGTTTTTTTTTGTTCAAAAGAAACAATATAATATGAAGAAATAATATAAATAGCTAATTTTTTTTTTAGCATTGATTATATTCCAAGCCCAGTTCTAAGCAACATAGGGTTGGGGGTGCCACTTCCTGTGCAATCAAAAATCTGCATGTAATTTCTGAACCCCCCAAAATTTCACTATTAATAGCTTACTGTTGACCAGAAGCCTTACCTGTAACATGAACAGTTAACACTTATTTTTATACGTATTATCTATTGTATTCTTAGAATAAGTAAGCTAGAGAAAATGTTAATTGAGAAAAAAGAAAAATATATTTACTCCTCATTAAATGGAAGTGGATCATCATAAAGGTCTTCATTTTCATGTTCTTCAGGTTGAATAGGCAGAGGAGGAAGAGGAGGGGTTGGTGATGCTGTGCCAGGGAGACAGAGGGAAAAGAAAATTCACATATAAAAGTGGACTCATGTAGTTAAAACTCACGTTGTTCAGGGGTCAACTGTATGTATACACATACACTCATTTAATCTTCACACCAACTATGAGGTGAATACTAATATTGTATCCATTTTTCAAATGAGGAAATGAAAGCATAGAGCTTTTTAGTAGCTTGTTTGGTTCATGCAGCTGGTCAATGAGATGACCAGGAATTCTGACCCAGGGACTCTGAGCCCAAAGCTTGTGCTTTTCATCACCATCACCTGTTACCTACCAGGATGAGGGAGGAGTGATGGAAATAATAAGAGCAGTTTCATAATTTAGGATTTACAGCAATATCTTGTGGCTCACCCTAATATCTATTATTTCAACTACTATAAAAGGTACTTGGCCAGGCGTGGTGGCTCATGCCTGTAATCCCAGCACTTTGGGAGGCCAAGGTGATCAGATCAAAAGGTAAGGAATTTGAGACCAGCCTAGCCAGCACAGTGAAACCCCATCTCTACTAAAAATACAACAAATTACCTGGGCATGGTGGTGTGCACCTGTAATCCCAGCTACTCAGGAGGCTGAGGCAGGAGAAATGCTTGAACCCGAGAGGCGGAGCTTGCAGTGAGCCGAGATTGTGCCACTGCACTCTAGCCTGGGCAACAGAGCTAGACCCCATCTCAAAAAAAAAAAAAAAAAAGGTACTTTACAGATACTATCTTAGTTGACTCCCACAAAAATACTCTGAGGAAGATATTATTCCTCTGTGTTTCAGATGAAGGCATTGAGGTTCAGAGAACAGTGACTTGCCCAAGGTCACCTTCCACTTGCCCTGCAAATACAGTCTAAAAGTCCTTAAGGTATACAAAATGTGACCCATGCTTACCTCTTAATCCTTATCTCTCACCAGAGTAGGTGAAGACCTGTTGTTTGCTGCCATGATACCGTGATCCTCTTCCAAATGCTTCTAATTGTGTAACAGTGTAATTAATAACAAATTACTTGTTATATGTTGCCTCTTTCCAGTCTGTTCCTTCATAAAGCACAAGTAGTATGAAAATGCAAATCTGATCTATCACTCTTTGCTTAAAACCTTTCTTTGGCTTCCCGTTGCTTTAGGATAAAGAGCAAGGCTCTACTGTGTCCCTGAAGCCCCAAGAGATCCTTCCACAACCCACCTCACCCTTCCCTCAGTTCCATGCTGACTCCTCTCATTCCTTCAGACATGCCAGGCTTTTCCTGCCTCAGGGCCTTTACACATGTGTTCCATCCATGTGGATGGTTCTTTCTCCTCTCTACATCTGGCTAAGCTCTGCTCATCCTTTAAGTCTCCACTGAAGGATCTCATCCTTAGAGAAATCTTCCCTCATCTAAATTAGGTCCCCCAGGAGATATCAACCAAAGAATAGTTTCAGTCAGACAAAAGGAGTATGTTTTTGATTTGTTGCACAGCATGGTTACCATAGTTAATAATAGTGTATATTTCAAAACTGGTACAGGAATAGATTTAAAATGTTCTCACCATAAAAAGTATCTGCAGTGATGGTTATGTTAATTAGCCTAATCATTCTTCAGTGTGTGTGTATATATATATATATATGTATAAAACATCACATTGTACTTCCTAAGTAATACTATTTGTCAAAAATAAAAATTTAAGTAAAAAAGTAAATCAGGTTCCCCAGTAATTCCCTTTCATAGGATCTGTGTCTTACCATGTTGTATTTGTGTTAGATTAATTTAATTTGATGCCTACTTCTTACACTAGACTAAACTTTATGAAAGTAGGGATCCTGTGTGTTTTAATCATTACTTGATTTCTAGCATAGAACATGACCGCTACATGTAGTAGGTCCCCAGTACATCTTTGTTTACTCAGTGTCAGACAAAGCAGGTTTGGAACCCAGATATTTTGACTCCAAGGTCCTGCCTCCCAGTACTGATAAGAAGTAATAAAGAAGCGAAAAAGTTATCGATTAGGATCTGATCCAAGATGGCCGACCACTAACAGCTCAGGATTGTAGCTCAGTGAAAGCTCAGAGAACGAGATGATGCCACATCTTTAGACGAATTTTCATCACTCACTGATTAGCCGATTCCCAGTGGAGGAGCCCCACGGGTCGCCAGTGCGACTCTTGTGGCCACCGCAGCGGTTTTGCCGGCGTCTCGGTGCAGCAGCTCTTCATGCAGAGCCAACGGGACTGCTTCCCCTACTGACCGGAGTTTGGAGCTCCAGGAAGTCAGAGCCGCTTGTTGCGGACTCAAGAGGGAAGCCAGACCAGAGATTCCCGGGCAGAAGAGCACATCAGTCTTATCGCTGCTATTTAGGCCGCCACAGTGGGTTGCTCGGATCCCAGCAGTGGGAATCAATAAGTCGGACGTCGACTCAGAAACCTAATTAGAAAGGCGGTTCATCTACAATGAAGGGAAAAAAATAGCCTAAGAAGGCCGAGTATACTCAAAATCAGAACCCATCAGCAATGGAACAAGCCCTGATAGAAAAGGAATCATCAGCAACCGAACAAGCCCTGATGGAAAAGGACTCATCAGTAACGGAACAAGCCCTGATGGAAAAGGACTGTGTTCCATTATCTGAAGCAGGCTTTAAAAGGTGGATGATAAGAAACTTCTGGGAGTTAAAGGAACTTGTTCTAACCCAATGTAAAGAAACTAAGAACTTGGAAAAAAGGTTAGATGAAATGTTGAAAAGAATAGACAATATAGAGAGGAATATAAATGAACTTATGGAGTTGAAAAATACAACAGGAGAACTTAGTGAAATATGTACAAGCTTAAACAGCCGAATGGATCAAGCAGAAGAAAGGATATCAGAGGTCGAAGACCAACTTAATGAAACAAAACGACAAGACAAGAATAGAGAAAAAAGGATAAAAAGGAATGAGCAAAGTCTCCAAGCAATCTGGGACTATGTGAAAAGACCTAATATACGCTTGATTGGTGTACCTGAATGTGACGGAGAGAATGAATTCAAGCTGGAAAATACTCTCCAGGACATTATCCAGGAAAATTTTCCTAATTTAGCAAAGCAGGACACTATTCAACCCCAGGCAATACAGAGAACACCACAAAGATATTCCTCAAGAAGACCAACCCCAAGGCACATAATCGTTAGATTCACCAAGATCGAAACGAAGGAGAAAATATTAAGGGCAGCCAGAGAGAAAGATCAAGTTACCCATAAAGGTAAGCCTATTAGGCTTACAGCAGATCTCTCAACGGAAACCCTACAAGCTAGAAGAGAGTAGGGGCCAATATTCAATATACTTAATCAACAGAACTTTCAGCCCAGAATTTCATATCCTGCCAATTTAAGCTTTACATTTGAAGGAAAAATAAAATCTTTTAGGAACAAGCAAGTACTCAGAGATTTTATTACCACCAGGCCTGCTTTACAAGACCTTCTAAAAGAAGCATTATACACAGAAAGGAACAACCAGTATGACCCTTTCTAAAAATACACCAAAAAGTAAAGAGCATTAACATAAAGAAGAATTTTCATCAACGAAAGGACAAAATAGCCAGTTAATATCAAATGGCAGCAACCCTAAATTTAAATCGACCAAATCTCCCAATCAAAAGATACAGACAAAATCTAACGGTATATCCAAAGATATACATAGACTCAAAATAAAGGGTTGGAAAAAAAAATGTACCAACCAAATGGAGAGCAAAAATAAATAAATAAAAAGCAGGAGTTGCAATTTTCATATTTGACAAAATAGATTTCAAAGCTACAAGGATACAAGTAAGGGTAAAAGGATTAATGTAATAATAAGAGATCTTAACACCCAGATACATAAGACCCATAATGAGATTTAGATTCAACGAGACAGAAAATTGATAACGATATCCGGGACTGGAACTAAGATCCAGAACAAATAAACTCAATAGAGCTCTCCATTTTAAACACACAAAATATACATTATCCACAAAATCTAACGATATATCTAAAGATATACAAAGACTCAAAACAAGGGGATGGAAAAAAACTCACCAACCAAATGGAGAGCAAAAAAATAAATAAATAAAAAGCAGGAGTTGCAATTCTCACACTTAATAAAATAGATCTCAAAGCTACAAGGATGCAAGGGTAAAAGGATTAATGTAACAATAAGAGATCTTAACACCCAGATACATAAGACACATAATGAGATTTAGATTCAACGAGACAACAAATTGATAACGGTATCCAGGACTTGAACTCAGAGCCAGAACAAATAAACACAATAGAGGTCTCCATTTTAAACACATAAAATATGCATTAACCACTTTAAACACTCAAAATATTGATCGGCCATTATTGAAACCCATTTTAGGAATGAAGTAATATTTTCCTTTTTCCCTCTTTTTCTTTTTTTTCCCCTTCTTTTTCTCTTCTTCCCTCTAAAAAAAAAAAAAAAAAAAGAAGAAGTAGTAGTAAAGAAGCTAACACTTACTAGGTACCTTAAAGAAGCAGTTTTCTAAAGAAGTCTCTCTGGAAATTCTGGTTTCAGATAAATGTAAGACTTTCTGTTTTAAAAACACTTTTAGGCAAGCGCTTTGCTTCTGGATCAGCTGACAAAAGCATTATTATCTGGACATCAAAACTGGAAGGCATTCTGAAGTACACGTAAGTAACCATTTGGGTGTATGGTATTATGAGTTTGATGCTTATTGAGTAATTATAGCGAAAGCCTCTTAGAAAAGATGTAGGGGAAAACTTTTTTCTCTTAAATTGAACTAGAAATGAAGTTGTGGGTGTGTGTGGTTGGTATAGGAAAGTTGACTAGTGAATCAGTTAATGACTATTTCTTGGCCACTTACTGGTGTGGCCAGCACTGGGCTAGGTGTTTTCATGTAGCTCATCTCAGTTCATCTGACATTGCAGACTCTATCCTACCCCCAACCTGTCATCTTTCATTGTCCCTGTCTCAGAGAATGGCCTTATATCCACCCAGTGTCAAGTGTCAGAAACTTGGGGTGAGTGTGCTCCAGGCCTCCTCTCTCTATTGGGGATCTGCTATGTTCTTCTCCTCTTCTTCTAGTAGTCGGTCCCTACTTACCCCGCAAATCTCAGACTCAAATATCACTTTCTTTCTAAGGGCTTTCCTGCCTCTCTAGACTGGGGCAGGCCTCTTTTGAGACATTTGTCACAATCATAGTTTTAGATTTATTCTGGTGACTGATCGGTATTGCTCATCAGCCTGTAAGTTTCGTGAGGGCAGATACTGCGTCTTTTTTTTTTTTCCCTCACTCTTATGTCCCTGATACCATGCTATCATGCCTGGCCCATAATTGATACTCACCAATTTTCTTCTCTCTTCTCTTCTCTTCTCTTCTCTTCTCTTCTCTTCTCTTCTCTTCTCTTCTCTTCTCTTCTCTTCTCTTCTCTTCTCTTCTCTCTCTTCTCTCTTTTCTTTCTTTTCTCTTCTCTCTCTTTCTCTCTGTCTACCAGGCTGTACTGCAGTAGTACATAGCTCCCTTGAACTACAACCTCCCAGGCTTGGGTGATCCTCTTACCTCAGCCTCCCAAATAGCTGGACTGCAAATGCATACCACCACACCTGGCCAATTTTTACATTTTTTTTTCTTGGTAGAGACAGGATTTCACTTTGTTGCCCATACTGATCTTGAACTCCTGGGCGTTCAAAATACTGGGATTACAGGTATGAGCCATTGCAGCTGGCCTCTTCTTTTTAATTGTGGTAAAATAGACATGACATCAGATTTATCATATTAACTACTTTTTGAGTTTACAGTTTAATAATGTTAAATACATTTACATTGTTGTACAACCAATCTCCCAAACTCTTTTATCTTGCTAAACTAAAATTCTCTACCCTTTAAACACCTACTCACCTTTCCCTGTTACTCCTAGCCCCCGGCAACCACCATTCTACTTTCTGTCTCTCTGAGTTTGACTGCTTTACATACCTTGTATAAGTAGAGTCATACAATATTTTGTTCTTTTGTGACTGAGTTATTTCATGTAGTGTAATGTCCTCAAGGCTCATCTGTGTTGTAGCATGTGTCAGAATTTCCTTCCTTCTTTCTTTATTATTATTATTGATTTTTATTTTATTTTGTTTTTGAGATGGAGTCTTGCACTGTTGCCCAGGCTGGAGTGCAGGGGCATGATCTCCACTCACTGCAACCTCTGCCCCCCAGGTTCAAGTGATTCTCCTGCCTCAGACTCCCGAGTAGCTGGGATTACAGGTGCCTGCCACCACACCCAGCTAATTTTTTGTATTTTTAGTAGAGATGGGCTTTCACTATGTTGGCCAGGCTGGTCTCGAACTCCTAACCTTGTGATCCGCCAGCCTTGGCCTGCCAAAGTGCTGGGATTAGAGGTGTGAGCCACTGGGCTCAGTCTTCTTTCCTTTTGAAGTCTAAATATTATTCCATTGTATGTATAGACCACATTTTCTTTATCCATTCATCTGTTGATGGGCACTTGGGTTCCTTCTTCTTAGCTATTACGAATAATGCTACTATGAACATGGGTGCACAAATCAACATACTATTTTTGAGGGAATGAATGAATGAATGAGTGATGTAAGTAAAGTATTACCCACAAGTGAAGGCATAAAACTGAAATGCTATGCATGGTAGATTATTTGCTCAGTTTTCATTGTTGTCTAAGGATTTGTCATGTTTCCAGATCTGGTCTGTAACGCCTTCTGTGCACCTCCATCTTATATTTCTGGGCCTCCACAAAACAGTAAGAGTAACAGCCATACATAAAGCACCTGAAGGTCAAAGGTGGGAGGATTGCTTGAGGCCAAGGGTTCAAAACTCGCCAACATAGCGAGTCCCTATCTCTATAAATAAGAAAACAGTGGGTGAGGAGAAGGTGAATTAATTTCTGTGCTTTTTATTGGTCTCTTGCAGAAGAGTATGTGGTCTATAGTCAGAGGCTGTGGGCTTATCATTAAAATCTTCCGTTGTAGCCATTGACATAATTGTGGTTTGCTGCATAGTAATCTACAGTTGTTTACTTCCCAGGCACAATGATTCTATACAGTGTGTCTCCTACAATCCTGTTACTCATCAACTGGCATCTTGTTCCTCCAGTGATTTTGGTAGGTTCTGATTCCTGATGTCCTGTCTTGGAATAACTGAAAATCTGGGCTAAAAATGCTGAAATGCATTCAATATATGAAGATTTTATCCTGAGAGTTAATACTACTTCTCTACCTTCAATGGCTGAGGGGAGGCTGACAGTTATTCTTTAAATTTTGTAGAAACCAAGACAGGGAATGATGACCTTTACTCTGGTAAGACATCACAGACTACAGGAAGGGCCTCAGCAAAGGAAATTCCAAGAAGGTTGGGAGGGCACAGGCATAACTTGGTAGTTGCTGCCTCTGGGAATCCTTCCTGACTCACCCTGGCAGGGACAGTGCAGTTTTCCTCACCTTTGTGTTGACCCATATCTGCATGTATGTGAAATTCTTCACTGTTGCAGCTGTACATCCTGTGCAGTTTGTCATCATTACTTGTTTAGGTGGCTTTAGCTGTCCTGTCTGAGGGGCTTAACACCTGAGGGGTTCATCCTCTCCATGGTCCTGTGCCAGCATTACAGCACTGGAGTAGTACTGGCACAAAAGAGGTGTCAGTACAATGTCAATTGAGAGAGGGAGGGAGTGAATTTGAGCAGAGGCTTGAAGGTTGTTTCCATTAATGGTTGACTGTGTTTTCAACTCCATCAGTCTGTGTTCCTTGCTAGTAGATACAACCAAGTCGTAAGATGAGGAGTCAGAGGCCTAATCCCTCTGAGTTTCAGTTTCCTTATCTAAAAGGAGCATGCTGCTGTGTTTCGCTGATACAGTTTTGAGGTTCAAAAAAGAGACTGGAATTGAAAGCCAATAGTATAAATAAATGGAGGAAGGCCTATCCTTTGTTTAAAATATTTTATAGCATTTTCTTCATGTGAAGCGCTGGTCTGTGTGCTTACATTGGAAGATTAAAAAGACAAAACAGAATCCCTACCCTCAAGGAGCTTGTGGTCTTAGAGGAAGGTGGGATTTTAAAAAATGTAATATTAAGTAATAGTATTTGTTGAATGCTTATAGTGTGCTAGGCATTGTGCTAAGGATTAGAAATGAATTCCTTTATGAATTTTATGACAGCCCCTCAGGTATCAGGTATTATTCTCATTCCCACCCTGCTGATGAAAAGGAAGTGGAGGTCCCTTAGCTGGTAGGTGGAAGAACCAGGGCTTGGACCTTAGGCCAGGTCATTGCATACAGAGCCTGCTCTGCTAAGCACTGCCAAAGGAGGCCCAGGAGGAAGGAGTTTCCTCCAGCTGGGGGCTCCAGGCAGGCTTAGTGGAACACAGATAATATGTGCAAAACTCAAAATGTTTGGAGGAAGCATTCTGAACCAGGAGAAAGGCAAAAAATAACTTGTTTGATGTTGCACTCGAGTATATAAATCTATTTGTGCACTGGAGTTACTTTCTTGAGTGTACTTTGCAACTTGGCAAAGAATAGAATTTGCTTATGTTATCTAGACACATTTGTTGCTATGACGCACTGAGCCAGGGTATCTGGTATAGGAGGGAGCAAGCCTTAGGTGTTCCATGGAAGAGGAACAGCTCAGATAGGGTCATGTGTGGTGATTGAGACCTATGAAAGAAAAGTAGATTTTCAGAAAGCATCATTGTCATTTTAAATGCTAGGTTATACTCTGGTTGCAATGTCAGAGTTATGAACAGTGAAACTCATTTCTTTGGCAGTTAAAATCCCTGAAAACTTGGCTAGAACTTTACTAATCTATTCTATTTTTCTTTTGAAAGAATTATAGATTCATAGTAAGTTACATAGATGGTACCAAGTAGTCTGTGTAGTTTTCATCCAGTTTCCCCCTGTGGATCTTATGTAGCTATTACACAGTATCAAAACCAGGAAACTGAGACTGGCACACAAAGTTTGTGTATTATGAAGTTCTACTGTTTTATCACATGTGTAGATTACCACCCGTGCAACACAGAACTAAGTCATTACCATGCAGTTACCACTTACCGTCGTATCTATTCTCCTTACCTTCAATTATCTCCAAACCCTGGTAACCACAACTGTTCTCCATTTCTATGAATTTGTCATTCAAGAATATATATATATATATATATATAAATGGAATCATACAGTATATGACCTTTTGAGACTCAGTTTTTTTTATTCAGCATAAAGTCCTAGAGATCCATCTAAGTTGTTGTATGTTTCAATTATTTGTTCCTTTTTATTGCTGGGTAGTATTCCAACCAATCCATCTGCTTTCTTATTATTGTGCATTGAAGGGTTGTGGTCTCCTGAACAGAAGTCTATCTCCAAACACAAATCAAGCAGCAAGATCATCTGCTGCAGGTAAGTGTAGCTCTGATGATAGGATTTATGTTCCTTTCTCTTCCAAACAGACTCTAAAAATCAGTTATTTCATGCAGTGGAGAAGGTCTTGTGTTAAGTAGTTGATTTAGGCCTCTGTATTTCCTTTTTTCTTCTTTTTTGGTCTCCTTGATGGGAAAGACCTGTGCCTTTGATCGTCAAGCAAAAGAGAACTACAAGTTGCCTTCATGCAGTTACCTAGCAACAAGCCTCCTCAACATCCAGCTGTACTGAGTGGAGGCTCTTTGGAAATGTGAGGCTGTCATTGTCCAGGCAATATGTGTGGGGAAGAAAGCTTTCCTTCCTACGCTTTGATGCTAGACCTGGATTAGAATCCAGATTCTGTCATTGACAGGCCATGTGACTTCAGGAAAGTTACTAAATCTTTCTGAGCTGGAGCCTTATGTTCCTCATCTACAAATAGGGATAAAAATACTGACTTAATGGGATTATTGTGAAATACACACAAACTCATGAGCATAAAGCATGCAGTACAGCACCTGGCATACAGTAGACACTCTAAATGGTAGCTGTTCTTGCTGTCCAACTTCTAGGAGTATAGCCCTTCTGTTAACATCTTTTGAGCACCTGCTATAGAGCAAGCAAACAAGCTCTGTTCTAGGGGTTGGACAACACCAAGTCTCTTCTTAAGGTGCTCTTTAAGTGGGAGGGGATTGAGATGGAGAGTGGGGAGTGGTGGCTGGCCCAGAGATGTAGATACAGCTAAGGCCTGTCGTAGAGGTATGTACAGAGGGCCCTGGGAGCTCAGAAAAAGGCATGGACTTCTCTTCTCACTGTTGCCTTCACTTCTCACTGTTGATTACAGAACGAAATAGCATTTTAAGTTTGATCCTCTGACTTTATTATGTCAGGACCAGCAATAATGAAACCATATCCCAGCTGTTGCTGCCTCATCAGACTTTTATTTCAAACCAAGGCATCATCCTCATTAGTTTTACCTTCTGTGGGGTGCTTCCTCTATCCCCATGCCCTTTGTTGGTTGTGTGCGCAGCTGGACAAATGATGGTCAGTACCTGGCGCTGGGAATGTTCAATGGGATCATCAGCATACGGAACAAAAATGGCGAGGAGAAAGTGAAGATTGAGCGGCCGGGGGGCTCCCTCTCGCCAGTATGGTCCATCTGCTGGAACCCTTCAAGGTACTCTTAAAGTTGTCCTCCTTCTAGAACAAACACCATCATGAAGAAGGGCTTTCTGTCTTCTTGAGGTCACCCTACATTCAAAGTCTTCTCACCTCACTTGAATGGTCTGTTTTAGAACCTGTTCCATTTGTATGGATTTTTTTTAATGGTTCTGCTGCCTAGGAATGTAAGGAACTTTTTAAGAGCCTGCTCAAAAGTTGAGTTTTGGAATGAATACTGGAGATTTTAGCAAAGCAGATGAGCTATTTAGGCCAGGCCAAAGTGTGTGTGTGGCATGTGTTCACGCACACATATGCACATGCACATGTACATGAGTATAGTGTGTGTGCCAGTGGGGTGTGAGTGACACAGGAGTGCCATTTCCTTATGAATCATTAGTGAAGCTCTTTGTGTGGCTTTATTTTTGCCTTTTCCTTTTTCAGTTCTTTCCTCCAAGTTTGGGCAGAATACGAAGTCTTGCTCTGTCACCCAGGCTGGAGTGCAGTGGTGCAATCTCCGCTCATTGCAACCTCCGCCTCCCGGGTTCAAGCAATTCTCCTACCTCAGCCTCCTGAGTAGCTGGGACTACAGGCACGTACCACCATGCCTGGCTAATTTTGTATTTTTAGTAGAGATGGGGTTTCACCATGTTGGCCAGTGTAGTGTAGTTCTAGGCAATGTAATGAACAGGTGTGCCCACCTGTTAATAAATAGCTTTTTCACCAGCCTTTTTGCTGCCCTTTTCAGAAAGTCAAAATTACGTCTACAGACGTCCCTAAAGCCTAGAGATACACAAGCAGTTGGCACCTACCTCCTCAAATTTTATGCACTATGTCCATGTAACTTTGAGAGTAGACTAATGACTTCATATGCTGGTTTTTTTTTTTTTTTTTTTTTTGAGACAGAGTCTCACTCTGTCTCCCAGGCTGGAGTGCAATGGCGTGATCTCAGCTAATGCAACCTCTGCCTCCTGGGTTCACGCAATTTTCCTGTCTCAGCTTCCTGAGTAGCTGGGATTACAGGAACCTGCCACCATGCCCAGCTAATGTTTTTGTATTTTTAGTAGAGTCGGGGTTTCACTTTGTTGGCCAGGCTGGTCTCGAACTCCTGACCTCAGGTGATCTACCTGCCTTGGCCTCCAAAGTGCTGGGATTACAGGCATGAGCCACAGTGCCCAGCTCTATATACTCTGTATATATCCCATAATATTATTAAACCATCAATATCCTTTACAGAGTCCACTGAAGGTAAATTAAAGGTTCTACTTGTTTACTAGCTCAGTGTCATTTTACAGGTGGTTGCCTGCTTGATTTAGAAGGTTATTTAGAACGTTATTATGCTTCTTCCTGAATAATTTTGCCGGCCCATGCTGTACCATGTATGCCTAATGCCATCAAAGGCCATTAGCCTACCCCAAGTTCCTGCTGTTTGATTTGTGGCCACAGAAGACTTTGTGGCTCTAGGCTCCCATTTTTAATTCATGAGAAGCAGGAGGCCCTGTATACCTGGTGGCTGTCTTCCTCCAGGTAGGGTTCAGGGGCTTAATATTTTATTTTTATTATCTTTTTTTTTTTTAGACAGGCTCTCAGTCTGTCATCCAGTCTGGAGTGCAGTGACATGATCTTGGCTCACTGCAACCTCCACCTCCCAGGCTCAAGCAATCCCTTCACCTCAGCCTCCCAAGTAGCTGGGATCACAGGCACATGCCAACACATCCGTCTAATGTTTTGTATTTTTGGTAGAGACAGGGGTTTACCATGTTGCCCAGGCTGTTCTTGAACTCCTGATCTTAGGCAATTAGCCTGCCTTGGCCTCCCAAAGTGCTGGGATTACAGGCATGAGCCACCATACCTAGCCCCCAGGGGCTCCTTGACAGGATTTTAAATTATAGTTTTAGTGTAGTTCTAGGCAATGTAATTTTGAACAACTACTTATTGTCTACAGCCGATGGGAGAGTTTCTGGATGAACAGAGATAATGACGATGCCGAGGATGTCATTGTCAACAGATATTTTCAGAAAATCCCTTCTACTCTGAAATCAGCGGCGTACAGTAGTCAGGGTAGTGAGGCAGAGGAGGAAAAACCAGAGGAAGAAGAAGACGACTTGTGAGTGTGTCCCAATGAGTAGAAACCCTCCTGGTAAGGGCCCAGGCTCCACACAGACTTGCCAGGGCAGATTTTAAGCTCCTTGGCCAAGGGGTGCAGTACAGGGGTCGGGGGGAACTGTGGGTGAAAGCTCCTTCAAGAAAAGGAGACACACCCTTAAAACTTGTTTGGGGTTATAAAGTGATTCTGTGAGAAACTGTAGGAAATACTGAAAAGTCTAAAGGAGAAAGTTCAGCTTTTCTGATAAAACCCCATCCCCTCAAGAAACCACTGTTAGCCATCTCGTGTATTTCTCCTTAGTCTTTTAGTGTCTTCATATAATTAAGTCATATTCTGCTTTTTTTCATGTAACATTATGGTGTGAACACTTTCCAGTAACGTTACAAATCCTTCCAAGAACAGGATTTTTTTTTTTTTTTTTGAGACGAAGTCTTGCTCTGTCACCCAGGCTGGAGTGCAATGGTGCAATCTCCGCTCATTGCAACCTCCGCCTCCCGGGTTCAAGCGATTCTCCTACCTCAGCCTCCTGAGTAGCTGGGACTACAGGCACATACCACCATGCCTGGCTAATTTTTTGTATTTTTAGTAGAGATGGGGTTTCACCACGTTAGCCAAATGGTCCTGATCTCCTGACCTCATGATCCATCTGCCTCGGCCTCCCAGAGTGCTGGGATTACAGGCGTGAGCCACTGCGGCCAGTCAAGAACATGATTTTAATACCTAAAGAGTATGCCTTTTCATGGATGCTCTGTCATTCAGCACTTCCTCTATTACTGGACACGTTTATTAGCCTGTTCCCACACTATTCCTACCTTACCTTACATTTTCTAGGATACATACCAGAGAGGAAGCCCTTGCCTTAGCCAAAGTCCTTACACCCAAATCCTGGCTGTCCACGCATTCTTTCTTCTCTTCCATTGAAATTGCCTGTAGGGAAAACATGGGCAGGCCAGAGTGGGGAAAGGTGGGGTAGCCAGGATATCCTGAGTGGCAATAGAGATCTAGCTTGGGACTTTACAAATTGTTTTCCGTGGTACATGAGTTTCCCTAGAAGAATCCCACTTCAAGGTCATTGGAGTCTTGGAAGTGGGGACACTAAAGGAGGAAGGTGTGGCTTTGGCTCCCCATCTGTGCATCAGTGAAAGCAGTCCCTTTGATTGTTCAACATGAGTTTTGTTTCATAAAGAGTCCTACTGCTACAGGAGGAAAAAGGGGATTGAAAACCACCAATTGAGCCTACAGGGACTGAGCCCATCCCAGAGGCATATGTGGCCTCCCCAAGAGAGCTCACTGTGGGCTGGGCTCCTGGATTGTGTTTGGACTTCTGTGGCAGTCACACAAAGATCATCTATAGGCTTCCTCCTTATTAACATCCCTCCACTCTTCATCTCTTTTCCCTTAGGTTTTTTTTTTTGAGATGGAATCTTGCTCTGTTGCCCAGGCTAGAGTGCACTGGCGCTATCCGGCTCACTGCAATCTCTGTCTCCTGGGTTTAAGTGATTGTCCTGCCTCAGCTTCCCAAGTAGCTGGAACTACAGGTGTGTGCCACCACACCTGGCTACTTTTTTGTATTTTTAATAGAGATGGGCTTTCACCATGTTAGCCAGGATGGTCTCGATCTTCTGACCTTGTGATCTGCCTGCCTCGGCCTCCCAACATGCTGGGATTACAGGCATGAGCCACCATGCCCGGCCTCCCTTAGTTTTGAGTTAGTGCCTGTGACATTTGCCACTGTTGGCTGGGTTTTATAAACAAGGCTTTACCTTGCCTGCCGATATATCCAGTGGTGCTTCCTGGTGACCACAAGACACTGGAATCAGAAAAGCTGGAATAAATAAACAAACAGAGGCAACATTAGGTAGATTAAGACCCAGCCTCAAAGGCTAGGAATGCTTTTCTCTCTCTCTCTCTCTTTTTTTTTTTTTATGAGACATTCTCGCTCTGTCACCCAGGCTGGAGTGTGCAGTGGCATGATCTCAGCTCACTGCAACCTCCACCTCCCAGGTTCTAAGCAATTCTTATGCCTCAGCCTCTGGAGTAGCTGGGATTACAGGTGTGTGCCACCATGCACGGCTTATTTTGTATTTTCAGAAAGACAGGGTTTCCCCATGCTGGCCAGGCTGGTCTCTAACTCCTGACCTCAGCTGATCCACCCTCCTTGGTCTCCTAAAGTGCTGGGATTATAGCCGTGAGCCATCACGCCCAGCCACTTTTCTCTTAAACTAGATTCCCAGGTAGCTTGCTCCCCAGCCTTAGGCAAGGGAGTTTCTCCTGTGGAGAAACTTATTCTACAGTCCCAGTCCCACAGCACTGATTCCCATAGGTTCTCAGTTTCAAAGACAGTTGTTGGTTTTCAGAGAGCGCATTTCTCTTTTTAGAAAATTAGATTCAGTCAGAAACCATTTCAACCTTGCACAGGGTAAGGACCCCACCTATCAGAGAACCTATTTTTAGGTGTTCATTTTCTTTCTTAAGGAATAGCAAGCAAGTTTCCCTTCTGTCTATTAAAAAATGCCTTTGCACTGCAAAGGATGTTTCTCCGCCATCTCCCCACATTTTTCTAGTACATAAGAGAAAAGCAGTCTCAACACTGCAGCCTTGCCTGTCTTAGTGTTGCTCCCCAGGAAGCTCTGAAATGAGAGTTTTTTCTTCTTTAGCTGAGGCAATGCACCATAAGCTCCTGGCAGGAGATTCAGTGAAATAGCAGATCCCAGGAAGGCTGAACCTCACCTCTGCTTCATCCCTTAGGACTGATTGATGGGTTGGCCCAAATTACAATTTTTGGCCTCAGTAAAGCTGTACAACATTTGGCAACCTGAGTCCAGGGCTTTCTTCCTGTTGTTTATGCCCTGAGAGCTATGCTCATCAGCAGGCCATAGCCCTTCATAACCTCTTTTATCTTCTGTTGATTAGAGAGGAGCATAATGACATCCTGGCTGTGGCTGACTGGGGACAAAAACTTTCCTTCTACCAACTGAGTGGAAAACAGGTATGTAGCCCTGTACAAATCCAATTGCAGTCATGCCTTTTATTTTTATTTCCTGAGATTGTATTACTGTTAATTAAACATTATCATTGTTAGTTCCTGCTTGTTGAGCATTTGCTGTGATACCAGGTACTGTACTCTCTGCTTTGCGTAATTTATCTTATTTAATTCTCATAAAACCTAATGAAGTGGGTACTTTCTCTATGAACTTTTTACAAATGAGTAAACCAGAACTCAGAGCCGTGAAATTATATGCCTAAGATCTCACACAGCTAGTAAATAAATGATGGAGCCTAGGAGTTGTACTCAGATTGGTTTGACTTTGAAGTCTAGCTCTTTGTCTTGACCTTACTTTCTTCTATTTGCTTTCATTCATTGAACCAACATTTATGAGTACCCACTTAGGACAGCCCTTTCATAGAGGAGCTGCTGATACAGAGCTGGGAAAGTGATAACCTCTACCTGCAAGAGCTCACAGGCTGACAGAGACACACTTGATAGCAAAGAACCCCTGTGTGGTGTGGTGTGTGACATGATAGAAAACTGTACAGATAGACAGCTTTTAGGGACACAAAAGAGGGTAACATCACTACTTGGTAGAGATGGGAGGTCTTGTTAGAGGTTATCTTTAAGCAGGTTATCTTTGAGTTAGGCTGAGGACATTGGGAATGGTGTTTCAGGCAGAAAAAAATAGCATGCATCAAGACAGGAAGGAATGAAAATATATGACAGTTTCGAGAATGGTGAGTTGTACAGGGTGACTGTATTTCAGAGTTTGTGGCCTGAAGATAGATCTGAAGAGGAACATGGGGACATGATTATAAAGGACCTGAATAGTGTGAAGTTTGAACATCATAAATTATAAGTACTCAGGAGACATAGGTGGCAGAAAGTGGCATCACAAATTCTTGCTTCAGAGGAATAACTTGTTTCTGTGGAGGGCGGATTAAAATAGAGAGAGCATGGTAGTAGGAAGACTTGTTAGTAGGACTGCCTACTAACCGAAGACAAGAGTAAAGGTGCTGGGTACAGGTTTCATACCACAGCCAAGCATTTGAGAAATGCAACCTGTGCAAGAAGCCTCTAATTTCATAGCATCCTTATTCCTCAAAACATGTCATGCAAGAAGGAAGAGTTTTAGATGTGTATAGCCCAGCTTTTGGGCCATTTCTTCTACCCCTGCCTTACCGTTGGTCAAGTCTTTTATATTTGAGTAAAGAAAAGATAAAGGGAGCAGATAATGAAGTGTTTTCTCAGTTTCCCATGGCTGATTTCCTAAAACTCTCATTTTAATTAACTGTCATCTAGTTTCCCTGGCCCTCTCTATTCATCCACTTAATGTGTGTACATCATCATTTGACAAATATTTATTGACACACCTACTGTGACACACTGGATGTGGGTACTGAAGACTGTTGGGAACAAATAACCACACTGCCCTGAGAGATAATGGGGTCTTGTTGCTATGGTCACAGTGAAAAAGAGTGCAACATGGTGGAGGGCCGTGGGAAATATCTTACATGTTTGCAGCCCCAGAGCTCATGTTGTGGCCCAGAGTTTCTGCACGATAAGCAGCCTCAAACTGCTGAGATGGTAGCCCCAACTTGTTTGGTACAGTAAAATTGTTTTCTTGGTGGGTAAGTGTCTTCCCTTCCCAATCTGGGAAGATTTAGAATTAAATATAGTATGATGAAGTAAATCAAACCCATACTTTTATGTTTGCCTGAGGTATAATTTGCTTATTTTTGTCATTTGAAGTGTTAGTAATACTTAAGAGGATCTGGCTTAATAATAATAATAGCTAACATTTATTGAATTTCAGGCACTATATAAACTCTTTACAAAGATTAACTTTTAATCCTTATAACAAACCTATGAGGTAAATATTATTATTATTATTATTTTTAAGACAGAGTCTTGCTCTGTTGCCAGGCTGGAGCGCAGTGGCGCGATATCAGCTCACTGCAACTTCCACCTCCTGGGTTCAAGCAATTCTCCTGTCTCAGCCTCCTGTGTAGCTGGGACTACAGGCGTGTGCCACCACACCCAGCTAATTTTTGTATTTTTTAGGAGAAACCAGGTTTCACCATGTTGGCCAGGATGTTCTCCATCTCTTGACCTCATGATCCACCCACCTCAGCCTCCCAAAGTGCTGGGATTACAGGTGTGAGCCACCATGCCCAGCCATAAATACTATGATCATTGCGATTTTACATGTAAAAAAAATTGAAGCACAGATTTAATTCACAGATTCAATAATTTGCCGAAAGGCACACAGTTAGTCTGTGGTCTACCTTGGTGAAACCCAGGCATACTGGTACCAGAATTCATATTAGAATATATATCAGATTAGTCTTGGCAATGACCATTTAAAAGTTGTAATTGAGTAATTTTATATGTCTGATTTTATTTATTTATTTATTTATTTAGAGACAGAGTCTCAGCTCTGTCGCCAGGTGCCAGGCTCGAGTGCAGTGGCACAGTCTTGGCTCACTTCAACCACCACCTCCTGGGTTCAAGCAATTCTCCTGCCTTAGCCTCCCAAGTAGCTGGGACTACAGGCGCACACCACCATGCCCAGCTAATTTTTGTATTTTTAGTAGAGATGACGTTTCACCATGTTGGCCAGGATGGTTTCAATCTCTTGACCTCATGATCCATCTGCCTCGGCCTTGCAAACTGCTGGGATTACAGGGGTGAGCCACCGTGCCTGGCTATTTATTTATTTTTTGAGAAAAGGTCTGAACCTGTTACCCAGGTTGGAGTGCAGTGGTATGATCATGGCTCAATGTAACCTTGATCCCCTGGGCTCAAGCAATCCTTCTACCTAGCCTTCTGAGTAGCTGGGACTACAGGCATGTGCCACCAAACCCAGCTAATTAAAAAAATATATTTTTTAGTAGAGATAGGGTCTGCTATGATATCCAGGCTGGTCTGAAACTCCTGGGCACAAGGTTCTGCCTTCAGTTCCCAAAGTGCTGGGAATACAGGTGTGAGCCACCATATCTGACCTACTTCTGATTTTAAGTGGAAAGATAAAAGAATTATATTTAAAGTATATATTATTTAAGTTTCCTAAGCAATACTGGAATGCTTAAGCAATTTGTTACATTTTCTGCTTGGTGTTCACTGACCTTTTTGAATCTATACATTGATATCTTTATGTCTTTCACCAAATGTGGAAAAATTTGGCCAGGATTTCTTGAAATATTTCTTATTCTCTATTCTTTCCTTTCTGCTGGAAATCTAATTATACTTACATTAGAGGCCCTGCTATTATTATTATTATTATATTTATTTATTTATTTATTTATTTTTTGAGACAAAGTATTGCTCTGTCGCCAGGTTTGAGTACAGTGGCACCACCTCAGCTCACTGCAGCCTTCGTGTCCAGGTTTCGAGCAATTCTCCTGCGTCAGCCTCCCAAGTAGCTGTGACTACAGGTGTGTGCCACCACGCCCAGCTAATTTTTGTATTTTTAGTAGAGACGGGGTTACACTATGTTGGCCAGAATGGTTTCGATTTCTTGACGTTGTGATCCACCCACCTCGGCCTCCCAATGTGCTGGGATTATAGAAGTGAGACACCATGCCCAGCCTATTATTTTTTAAAATCTCTTTTTTTTCCTTTTGATCTTTGGATTGAAGGATTTCTGTTGTTCAGTATTAAATTTTATTGACTCTTCTACAATTTCTATTTCTCTTAGGCTCATCCAGTGCATATTTGTTTCCGTTATTGCATTTTTCTCTTCTAGAATTACCATTTGGTTCTTTTTTCCTATTCATTCATTACAAGCATATTTTCCTTTATAGCCTCAACCATAATTACAATTACTGTTTTAAAATTTTCATCTGCAGCTGGGCATGGTGGCTCACGCCTATAATTCCATCACTTTTAGAGGCTGAGGAGGGAGGATTGCTTGAAGCCAGGAGTTCAAGACTAGCCTGGGCTATACAGAGAGACTCCATCCCTAAAACCAACCAAACAAACAAATTAGCCAGGTGAGGTGGCAGACACCTATTGTCCTAGCAACTCAGGAGGCTGAGACGGGATTATTCCCCGAGCTGAGGAGTACAAAGCTGCAGTGAACTCTTACCACTGCACAAAGACCAGTGTCCAAAAAACAAACGAAAATTCTCACCTGCTAATTCTAACATCTGGGTCATCTGGGGTCAGTGTCCATTGATTCTTTTCCCTTGAATATGGTTCACATTTTCCTGCTTTTGGGAATTTTGAATTATACTCAATATTATGAGTGATATATATCTTAGAGAGTCATTTGCATCATGTTTCTCTGAAGATTATTGTGTATGTTTGTGTGTGTATATGTTTAAGCAGGAAGTTTACTTTGCTGGGCTCAAAATCAAAACTCCATGTTTTCAGTGGTGTCAGCAGCTGACATCTCTGTGCAGTTCTTTAGCTTTAGCTAGGCTGCTTGGCATTGTCATAGTTTGTAGTTAGTTCAAGGGTTTCCAGATATTTGGTGGAGTTTATGTGCAGGATTTAAGCTCCTGTTTTGCATCTCTTTCCCGGGATTTCCCACCTTATTTTCTAGCTGCTGTGGTCTTCCCAAATTCTGTATTCACCCAGCATGGTGCTAAAAAAAAAAAGAGAGAAGACCACCTAATGTTTGTTCCCTTTGTCCAGATGTGCATGTGTCTTCAGTTCCTGCCTGCTTGTGGTTGCCCTGCAATGATTGTTGTTTATGGTTGGTCCATAGTTTATTGCTGTTGGGAGGATTGGTCCAATAGGTACTACTGAGCTATTACCAGAAGCTGCCAGCCGTCCATGTCATGATTCATAAGAATTTTTAGTTTTCTTATTAGATTTTCTAGCATCAGATAAGTGCTAGGGAAAGTTTTGTTTGCTAGGCATTTGAAATTCCTAAAAAGGAAAGAAAATTTGAATGTATTAAACTTTTCATTGCCGTTTAAATTGGTGTAAGGGAATTAATTTAACTAAGTTTTAAATGGGGCTAGATATATAAGGGATTTTTATAATCTGTTCTAAATTGAATTCATTAAACAGTCAAAGTCAGTTGGCTGTTTAGATTTATAAATAGGAAAATATTTGTAAATTGAACTTAAAAACTTAAGAAACCAGGTTCCTAGAGTTATTTCTTTTATAAATTGAATATTAGTTTAATAATGTTAATCACAAATAGTCTTTTTATTCACAAAAGACACCCTCAGGGCAGCAAAAAAACTCCAGTGGTATTAAGGAGCTTGGGATTTAGTAGGGCAGACCTGATTAACCCCACGTCTTCAGACAATGAGAGAAGTACAAAGGGATAGGCGAGCACAAGCACTATGGGAGGATGAGGGGATGGGGAGTGCAGATGTTCCTGGAGAGAGAACACCTGGAAGACAAAGTGAGGGTAAGAGCACTCCTGGCTAGGTCTAGGGGTGGTGTGGAGTATAGCACCTGTGAGGATGCAGAGGCCTAAAAAAGCATTGCCTGCTTAGGAAACTACAAGTTCATTTTGGCTGAAAGAATGACCTTGGGGGCTGAGCTCAGGATTTTGACCTTCATCCTAAAAGCTGAGGAAGCACCATCAAGAAAGTGAAAAGGCAATCCACAGAATGAGAGAAGTTTTACAACTCCTATGTCTGTTAAGGGACTTGTATCTGGAATATATTAAGAACTATAAAGACAGGGCTGGGCATGGTGGCTTACACATGTAATCCCAGTGCTTTGGGAGGGAGAGTCAGGGAGATCACTTGAGAACAGAGTTCAGGACCTACCTGGATAACATAGTGGGACCCCCATCTCTAAAAAAAAGTAGATTTTTAATTAGCTGGGTGTGGTGGTATGTACTTGTACTGGGGATGGTGGAGGGCTGAGGCAGAGGGATTGAGCTCAGAAGTTCGAGGTTGCATTGGGTTATGATCATACCACTGCATTCCAGCCCGTGCCACAAAGTGAGACATTTCTCTGTGGCCAATAAGCACATGAAATGATGCTCCATATTATTGGCCATCAGGAAAATGGAAATCAAAACCATAATGAGATAATTCTTGCTCACTAGAATGGAGAAATTGGAATCCTCATATACTGCTAACACAAATATAAAATGGCACAGTCGCTTTGAAAAGTGTAGCAGTTCCTAAAAAGGTTCAACATAGAGTTTAAAAATAAAAGAAATTTAGGCCAGGCGCTATGACTCACTCCTGTAATCCCACCAGTTTGGGAGGACAAGGTGGGTGGATAACGTGAGTTCAGGAGTTTGAGACTAGCCTGGACAACAAGGAGAAACACCATCTCTACAAAAAATACAAAAATTAGTCAGGCGTGGTGGCGTACACCTGTAGTCCCAGCTACTTGGGAGGCTGAGGTGAGAGGATCACTTGAAGCTGGGAGGTGGAGGTTGCAGTAAGCTAAGGTCGTGCCACTGCAGTCCAGCCTATTTCAAAACAAACAAAAATTTGCCAGGCATGGTGCCACTTACCATGTGGTCCCAAGTACTTAGGAGACTGAGGCAGGAGGATGGCTTGAATCCAGGAGTTCAAGGCCACAGTGAGCCGTACTTGTACCACTGCACTCCAGCCTGGGTGACAGAGTGAGACCTTATCTTGAAATAAACAAAAATGTAAAAATAAAGAGAAGTAGTATGGGTATAGTTGCAGAATGAAGGAGAGTCTTCAAACTGAATAAACTCAGCTTTATAAAATACTTTTTCAAAAAGGCAGAGAAAAGAAGCTGAGGGAACCCACTGGACTATAGGAAGAACTATATTTGCAGAAGGAGGGGCCTTTGGGAAGTAAACCACCCACAGACTCCAGCTTGGCTGAGGAGCCCCTCACACTCCTGCACACCTGGAGCACTTGGGACTGGAGGGCGGTACCACTGATTCTAGGAGCTGAGGACTGGGCTGTGTGGAGGGGGAGGAGGGAGATGCCAAGGTGGAGAGGCCTGTGTTTACCATGGGATGACACCGGAGAAAAGGCTGGCCAGCTTTCCCTGTCTTCCCAACTCCCTCCATTAAAGTTGGCAGGAAAAGCCCTTAATTATATTGTAATGGTTATGGATTCGAAAATGGTTTTTCCCTTGGTGTGTGTTCTATTTCCTCAGATTGGAAAGGATCGGGTACTGAATTTTGACCCCTGCTGCATCAGCTACTTTACTAAAGGGGAGTACATTTTGCTGGGGGGTTCAGACAAGCAAGTGTCTCTTTTCACCAAGGATGGAGTGCGGCTTGGGACTGTTGGGGAGCAGAACTCCTGGGTGTGGACGTGTCGAGTGAAACCGGATTCCAACTATGTGGTAAGACGAGGAAGTTTGTTCTGTGGGGCCATGGCTTGGAGAGGCATTGAGCAACGCCTCTGTCTTGAGTCACATCTGGGGTTTGTGTCTGACAAATGGGAGTGCAGACTTTCTCCATAGAGCTGGGAATTGACAGCTCTCTTACCCTGCAGGTGGTTGGCTGCCAGGATGGCACCATTTCCTTCTACCAGCTTATTTTCAGCACAGTCCATGGGCTCTACAAGGACCGTTATGCCTACAGGGATAGCATGACTGATGTCATTGTGCAGCACCTGATCACTGAGCAGAAAGGTAAGAGGCAGGTGCAGACCTTGGGAAGAGGGACAAGTGGAAGCAGGTGGAAAGGGCTAGTGACAGGGCACGTGAAATGACAGGAAAGGTTTCTCCTTGGCCTTTTGAAAACATATTAGCCACTGGGTCTGTGTCTCGTTTGTTTTGTTTGTTTTCTGGTGGGGGAAGTAGGGATGTCAATCTCCTTGAGGATCTCATGAAAGCAATAAGCCCTCTCTGAAAAATACACCAACCCAGAATTTTGCACATAATTCCAAGGAGTACATGGATTTCCTGAGTGAGGGAGGATGATTTGTGACAAGTTGGAGCCAGGTGGTTGACCTGCATGGGTCTTCGTGGACCTTTGTCCTTTCCAGTCAGAGTTTCTTTGGGGTGCTTTTCCCTCAGCCCAGTCTCCACTTGCCTCCTGGCAGGTCCTTCTGCCAGAGATGAGAAGGGGAATTGGATTGGCACAGGCTTTGTCAGAAGATCAGGGTTCCAGGCCTACCGTAGTCAGCCCAAGCCCTAAGACCTCAGTCTCTCCCTCTGTCAATGCTTAAGTAACTGCGCTGTTAAGTAGGCTCAGAATCCACTTATTTCAGGTGTATTCATATCTGGATGTGCTGGCTATAGTACACTGCTGGGTGCCTTTGCAAAGGGATCCAGGTGGGGGCTTGTCTTGCAGATTCAGATGAGTGTCCTTTGGTCCCCATGGGGGATCATGTCTTTTTGAAGATTCTGGCTGTGGTGGTGGGGACAAAGCCCCTTGGGCAGCTCCGAAGTGTCCCCTCAGGGACATTTTCTCCACCTGGTCCCTGTGGGAGCAGGGAGTGGGAGTGTAGAGCCTGGTATGTATCAGATATTACGTGTCTTTTCTGTTTGTCAAGGAGGTGGGCAGGGAGTGGCCAGAGGTGAGGTCAGTCACTTAGGCAGGCTCCCGATCGCCAGGGGCCACTAGTGCTGTGCAGAGAGTTTACATTTGTATCCAGCGAGTGATGGTAACACTGAGTACTTTCCATACTCAGTTGTCAGCCTTGAAACATGAAGATTGTGTCCTATAGGACTTTGGATCCCAGTGCTCAGCAGAGCTGATTGTATATATTAGATACGCTAAAGACTTTTCAATGAGAGTACCTCAGCTTAATTGCCAGTAGCGTTAAGTACATGATGGCTTTTAATTTCTTTGCCTTCCACGTTACTTAACAACCTCTTGTTAGAACTAGATATTTTTTTCTTTGACAGTTCGGATGAAATGCAAAGAGCTTGTCAAGAAGATTGCCATCTACAGAAATCGATTAGCTATCCAACTGCCAGAGAAAATCCTCATCTATGAGTTGTATTCAGAGGACTCATCAGACATGCATTACCGGGTAAAGGAGAGGATTGTGAAGAAGTTTGAGTGCAACCTCCTGGTGGTCTGTGCCAATCATATCATCCTGTGCCAGGTGGGCAGCAGCATATTAGAGGAGTTGGACTGAATTCCATTTGTGCTCTCCCCAACGATAGGGTGCCCACCTCATGGTTTTAAAACTGGTCACTAGAAAACAAGTTTGTTTCCATCAAACTAAGTGGCTGCTTATTGCCTTTCATTTTCCTGGTACCTAGATGAACAAGACTGTATTAGCAAGTCATGAGCTATGAACTGGAGAATACTTTTTTATTATTTAAAAAAAAATACTTTTCCTGACACAGACAGGGTCTCGCTCTGTTGCCCAGGCTGGAATGCAGTGGCACAATCATGGCTTACTGCAGCTTTGACCTCCCAAGCTCAAGTGGTCCTCCTCCTGAGTAACTGGCGCCACAGGTGCATGCCACCACACCCAACTAATTTTTTATTTTTAGTAGAGACACAAGGCTGTACTTTGGGAGGCTAAGGTGGGAGAATTGCTTGAACCCAAGAGTTTGAGACCTGTCCAGCCTCAAAGTACTGGGATTAGTGAGCCACTATGGCCAAGAATACCTTTTTCTATTGCAGAACATTTTGTCGTAGTAGGATTAAATGTATTTTAATGACTTGAAACATAAATTGGTGTTGTACAAAATGAAGGTAGTTTTTATTGGTAAGCATATATTCATAAAATTTGTATCAACTCAGTAATTGTCAAGGAAGTTTTCATTCCTGAAAGATTTTTTTTCATGGAGAAAACTTTCTCAAGATTCTAGAGAATGTCTAAGTCAAAGAGAAGTTTGGAAAGACTTTGAGAGATGGATAGCCCAGCATCTTGGAAGTAGAGGTGGATTTTGTTTTACATAGTTCTATTGGAAGCAATAAAAGGGAAGAATTCCTAGGAATCACTGTAGTGTAAAATACTATTAAAATCTCTCAAAGTCTAGAACTGGGCAGGGTGCAGTGGCTCATGCCTGTAAATCCCAGCACTTTGGGAGGCCAAGGCAGGAGGATCACTTGAGGCTAGTAGTTTGAAAGCAGTCTAGGAAACAAAGTGAGACCCCATCTCTACAAATTTTTTTATTAGCTGGGTGTGGTGGCACTCGCTTATAGTCCCAGCTACTTGGGAGGCTGAGGCAGGAGGATTGCTTAAGCCAGGAATTGGAGGCTGCAGTTAGCTATGATAGCACCACTGCACTCCAGCCTGGGTGACAGAGTGAGACCCTGTCTCATAAATAAATAAAGTCTAGCCCTTCAAGGGGTTTAGGGTTGCCACAAGTTATAGGATAGGTGTGGCAAATGTGTACTTTCAAGTGCTACCTCTGGCCTAGGCTACCTGGATGAAGGTCTGCATTGAAGATCTGAGTCTGAATTGGGCTCCCTGGGGAAGCCTTGCACGGAATCTTGGATTAACGAAGCCAATCATGGGGTCTACATGGGATTAGATAGGTAGATACTGAATGTGTAGGCATTTTCACCCCTTAGGGGCAGGAAGACCTCCCTGGGGAGGGCTAGGAGCATTTATTCTGTTGAATTTCCATGCAGAGCTGGGTTTGCTTCCTAGGAGAAACGGCTGCAGTGTCTGTCCTTCAGCGGAGTGAAGGAGCGGGAATGGCAGATGGAGTCTCTAATTCGTTATATCAAGGTGATCGGTGGCCCTCCTGGAAGGGAAGGCCTGTTAGTGGGGCTGAAGAATGGACAGGTGAGTGCCCCACATGTCTCCTCCCATCAGGCTGATTATCTGCACGCATACATGAGTGACCCATCTAGCAATGACCCTGAGCTGGATTCTCAGGGCAGGAAAACTTCTGTCCTCCATGGCAGAATTGTGGGGTAGCTAGCCGTGAGTTCAGTTTTTTGAGGACCACCTCAGGCCAAAGATGCAGTGGCCCTCACACTCATAGCAGGCCCATGTTTTGGCAGTGTTGAGCTATAGCCTCTGGCTACATGTAGAGTGGATTATTGGTTTAAGGTCATCAGAAGGTGGGAGATTTGTTAGAGATGCTGCTTCTGTGAATTTCTAGAGGGAGGCAGAGATCATTACCTAGATCAGCTCCCGATTAGGGCGGCGAGTAGGGCAGTGCGTTCCAGCATGTGTCCTAGAGAATGCCGGGTCCACAGGACACTGATAGATGCCATAGAAAAATGGGCCCTTTGGTCAATTAGATGTGGGAAATGCAGGTTACACAAAGTTAAACAGATTTCTGTGTGTGTATATCTGCATGTGTGTCTCTCTACATGTGTGTGTACGTGTGCACACGTGTTCTTTGCTCAGCATAAGAAAAGTTCTGAGTGGAACTTTGAAAGTGACAGTGTAGCTGCATTAGTCCGAGAGCCCAGCTGTGCAGCAGATGACTTATGGCGAAGTTTTCTCCAGTCTTTGTTGGGGACGGAAGTCATGGGGCTTAAGAGCGGTGGGTGAAGTCAAGGAGCAATGCCAAGGGGAGAAAGGGCCTGCTTCTTTCTCAGTCAGCTCTCGCTTCCCATGGGAGCATGGGCTTTGGGATCAGGTGGACCTGAGGTCATGTTCTTACTTAGCTACTCACTGGCTTTGTCATCCTGGGCGGGTTATTTTACCTCCCTGAGGCTGGTTTTTCATGAGCTTAGTACCGTATATTTCATAGGACTGTCAAAAACAGAATCAAGGTTGGGAGTTAAAGCCAGTGTAAAAAAAAAAAAACACCAAGGCTATTAAAGGGATATTAAAGCAGGCATGGTGGTGGGTACCTGTTGTCCCAGAACTCAGGAGGCTGAGACAGGAAGATCTCTTGAGTCCAAGAGTTTGAGGCTGCAGTGTGATATGATTACACCTGTGAATAGTCACTGCAGTCAGCCTGGGCAACATAGCAAGACCTTATCTCTTAAAAAAATATTTTTAAACCAGGAGCCTCAGTAAATGATAGCTGTCATCATCACTGTCAGCATCATAATTTTCTACCACACGTCTTGTCAGTGTTCACAGCAGCCTTTTCCTGTGTTAGTTCATGACTCAGATCTCTGCTAGATGGTGTCTCCTAACGCTGCAGTTTGAGTAATGTCATTAACAAATCCCCAGTCCAAACAGACACTAAAGTGAGCTCGGCCTGTCTCAGGGCTGTCATTACTTCTGCAGCCTCTGATGAATCTCACTTCTGGCCTCCTAAGGATAAGCCAACGCCCCCACTCCCCTCTTTCTTTTGATGAGTCCTTGCCTCTGCACAGAGCTTCTGGTGAAGGTAGTGGGAGCTGTTCTTGCAGAGCACATGGGATTCCAAGGGCCTGGCACTGGGCCAGGATCTTGTTGCCATGGTGACTGACACTGTTTTCTCCAAAATTCTGCCAGATCCTGAAGATATTCGTGGATAATCTCTTTGCGATCATCCTGCTGAAGCAGGCCACAGCTGTGCGCTGCTTGGACATGAGTGCCTCCCGTAAGAAGCTGGCTGTGGTAGATGAAAATGACACTTGCTTGGTGTATGATATTGACACCAAGGAGCTGCTTTTTCAGGTGAAGTCCCTGAGGAGGCCCAGGGACATCGTTCTTTGATTAGAGATCCTCCTCTTGCTTCACAGTCCCTGCAGGATGCTCTCCTGCTCTGGCCCAGGCAGGTCTCTGGGAGGAGCAGTGAGGGGCAGGGGACAAGCACAGGCGCAGAGTCCCAGAGGCCCTGGGCCACAACCTGCTTCTCCCATGAGAAGCAGGCACAAGTAGCAGGGCCTGGGCCGGCCTCTTGAGCTTTGGTTTCCTTGCCAATGAGATGAGCCAGCAGAGCCTTTCGTGAGCATTTACCTGAACAAGAAATGGGGCAGTGACTCTGAGGGGGGCATGTCATTGGCGCTCAGTGAATGGGGTGATGACTCCAAGTGGGGCGTGCTGTCCGTGCTCAGTGAATGGGGCGATGGTTGCGCTTCCTTTGCAGAAGTCTGCGTCTCACCTGCTGCAGGCCTGCCTGTGTCTGCGCACCTATGGCACGGGAAGGAAACAGGATCAGTTTTGTCATCCAAAAGGGGGAAAGAGATGGGCAAGCCTGGCCTTCTACTAATTCACAAGAATGCTTGAAGAGCCAGCAGCATGCCAAGTGCTTGGATCTTTGGGGGTGTAGGCATTGTTTGGTGTCATTCAGCCCCGTGGCCGAGGAAGCTTGTCATGAGAGAAGGCAGCCTGGCGGCTCCATGCCCGGGGCCTGGCTGGCTTTCTGCTGGGCTCACGCCATTCTTCGTCTCTTTAGGTCTTTGAAGGTGCTTGGGACTGTTTTCTGGGATGAAGTTCTCCCCAAAGCTGGAGCCCCTCTTGACTGGTTACCTTGGCCACCGCAGGGTTTCCTGATGTTACAGGCAGATTTGGTCCCCTTACCACGCTCCTGATTATACTCGGCAGCAGAATCAATAGCAGGAGGGGCCTGGAGTGCGGAGCAGCCTCAGTCAATTAGAAGTGGTTACCTGGCCACCTCTAGCTCGGAGGTGACTCCCCATCAGTCTCAACTCACTCCTGTCCCTGAGAGAGTAGAATGGTTCGGGGGAAGAGAGCACAGCCTTCAGGCTGACCTGGGCTTGTGTCCTGCCTGCATCCCCTACTGTGTGAGCTTAAGCAAGTTAGTGAGCCTCCCTGAGCCTTGATTACTTTTCTCTAAAATGTGATTAGTAATTGCCCTTCACAGAATTGCTGCAGGAATAAACAAGATACCACAGTGCCTAGCTCAGTGCTGGGCACAAAATAGGGCCTGACATGTTACTTCCCTTCTCCCCAGCTTCACCTCCCACCTATGGGGGGATAGCTGCCCAAAATGTGAATCTGTGTCTGAGCCTAGAATCATACAAGTGTGGAAGGGCGTGTGCGTTCCCCTGTCCCCACTGCTGGCTCTGTAGCGGGCTAGGGGAGGTGATTCTCAGCCCTGCCAGGAGACATCAACATTTCCACCTATGACATTGCCTGCTGGCTTTCCTCTTCTCCACTGCCCCCCACCCCTGCACATAAAACAGCTATATATTTTTTTCTCTCATTATAAAAAACAATCCGCACTCATTATAAAAGATTCTAGGCAGAAAGGTATGAGCATATTTCAGGAGAATAATTTTTTTTCAAAAGTAAAGCTTGCTTACTCAAATATTCCAACAACACGCAGGTGCATGGAGGGGCTTCCCTCTGTTCATTTCTTTGTGATCCCCTTTCCCTCCTTTCCCTCTATCCCACTGTAAGCAATTTAGTGGGATTCAGTCTTTAAAAGGGTATTGGGGTGAAATGTGCAAGCACTGCCCACGCCCAGGGTGGTTCTCACAGATCCCTACCGTCCCTGTCCTCTAGGAACCAAACGCCAACAGTGTGGCCTGGAACACCCAGTGTGAGGACATGCTCTGCTTCTCGGGAGGAGGCTACCTCAACATCAAAGCCAGCACCTTTCCTGTGCACCGGCAGAAGCTGCAGGGCTTCGTGGTCGGCTACAACGGCTCCAAGATCTTCTGCCTCCACGTCTTCTCCATTTCTGCAGTGGAGGTGCCGCAGGTAACGGGGCGCCTGTGCACTCTCAGCTCTGGCAAGGCTGACAAGACCAGGGAAGCCAGGCGCCTTGCTGGTGCGTTGCGGAAAGAGTAGCAAGGAGAGAAGAGTGGCAGCTGTGATGTGGAGGGAGGCAGTCTGGGTCTGGAACCTGCGGCCCTGTCTCCACTCCTTTCAACCTGTGTGACTGGAGGCAAACAGCTCAACCTCCCTGAGCCTCAGTTTCTTCCTGGTCCCCCTTCTGTAGGGATGGGAGGGGTATGCAGTGTTGTCAGCAGAGTGTGTTTTGTGGAGAGCCCAGCGTGGGGCCGAGTGGAGAAGCAGCAAAGCCGGGAGTCCAGCAGGGTGTGTGCATGAGCGCATGTGTGATGGTGGTGATGTGTGTGCAAGAGAGAAGGGGAGAGAGAGAGAGCGAGTGGGTGGTTGGTGAGGCCTGAGGTCTGTGAGCCAATAAGGGAGCATGGGACTCTGCACAAGCCCCCTGAACTAGGAGGAGGCCAGAACAGAAATGTGGTGCTGAAGTGTGGAGCCACAGAATGGGGGAGGGCAGAACCCCAGACAGGAGGCTGAGATTGACCTCCCGAGTGAGGGCTGGCCTCTCCTCCACCTCCTGCACCCCACGCAGCTGGTGCTCACCATAGGACTGCTGTAAAACAGAGACGTGCACCAGCAAGAAACTTCAGCCCTGAGCATCCCATCCTCAGGACAGAATCACTCCTAAACATATTGGAATACATCCGCTTAGAGCTTTTTATGTGTATATATAATATATGCAGAATATACAATTAGGAGCATGTGATTTCATAAGAACATTTTTAAACCAAAGTGAAATTGCACTGCAAATACTGTTTCATGACTTTTATCTGCATAAGTATTGCTACCTATAGATGGAACCTCAGATTTCCTGTATTCCCTGAGCCTGGCCCGTAAACAGGACTTCTCATCCCCTTCCTTTATGGCCATCTTCTCATCTCACCTCACATTCCATTATGGCAGCCCCATCACTGTCCAGGAAGTGCTGGTGGCAAACTAGTCATCTGGCCTGTTCACTCAGCAATCTCCTGAAGCATGGTTCTGTGTCAGTAACTGTTCTTATCCAGTATGGCAAAATGCTAAGGTCTTTATAGACTCACGTAAGTTGTAGGAAATAGTACAGAGATCCCTTATACTCTTTGCCCAGTTTCCCCCAGTGGTAACACTGTGCAAAGCTCTAGGACGATCTTCCCACCCATGTCAGCGTGTGTAACAGTCATGGCACTGAACACAGCCACCACCACAAGGTACCTGGTATTGCATTGCCCTTTTACAGCCAGCTCCCCTCCCTCCTGCCCAGGCCCCCCTGTGTTGTATTTCCGGCTGCATTTTATCCTGATTCATGGATATTCCACAGCTTTCTTTACCAGTCCTACTGGATGTGTTTGCTGCTTAGAGACTTTTTGTATTGTAAATAGCAGGGATCTTTCTAGCTAAGTCCTTGCATCTGTCCCAACTTGGTGCCTTGGCATAAATTCCTAGAATTGAAATTGCTGGGTCAGAGTGTGTGTACCTTTGAAAGATTTTTAGGGAAATTTCTAGGTTTCCCGTCTTCTAGGCTCTGTCAGTTGGTGTCTTTCCCCACATAACTCAGCTTCAGGCTAGAGTCCATTTCTTCTAAGCCCATGATACTCTCAAAACTCATAACTACAAGACTTACTGGGGAAATGCTCATCATCCGTGCCTGACACAGAGCAGCTATTCAAGGAATGTTGGTGGAATTCAGATCTGAGGCAAAAGAGAAGACCAGAAAGCAAGAGGAAGAAGGGAATGAGGTGGTTGGACGTGGCAGCAGGACAAGAGGTATGAACAGCTTCCTGGACTGCGTCCTCACCATCCTTGTCTGCCCTGTCACAAACCCACACAGCACATCCACCAGGAACTCGCTCTTCCTCAGTTGCACTAAACCGGCTCTGCTTATTAAAAGGTTTTCTCCCAAGACTGCCATCCTGACCTCAAAAATAAATGCAGTTTGCTGCTTCTTGACTGTAGCCAGCCGAGAGGAGCCAGAGGGGAGGCCTGGGGCTTCCTCTGCCCGGACTTTAAGGTTCAGCAGCAAAGTCTTGCTGGCTACACCAAGCCCATCCTGCTGACACAGCAGGTCAGGACTGCCAACGGTTAGGAAAAGCATTCTCAAGACAAAGGCTATTCATCTCTTGCCCCTGCCTCTGGTCATCCTGTGGTTTTGGCCTGGGGGAGAGGTGGGAGAAAGCATCAGACCCAGTCTTGGAATTTTTGGTTTCCTTTCGAAATTTACATTGTCTTGTGCAAGAAGTGGTTTGTTGGGTCTGCCAAGTAGGACAATGAGTCCTAGGAGGGCTTCTCAAGGCAGTGGTGACTTCATGTTTGGGATGCAACAGCAAGATAAAATATAGCTCAGAGGGTATTTGTTCAGTGAGTCTATTTTTAAAACTCCACTAAAATTGTACCTCCCAAGTAAGGCCAAGTGTTAGCCATCTGTCATATGCTCAGCTGTGATATGCCTGTCTGATTGCCTGTCCCACTCACAGGGCATTCAGCATGGCAAGCAGTTGTGTAGTTCAAGGAAGGAGCACTGGCTTTCGGTCCTGACTCTGCCGCCTCAAGCAGCTGTAACTAGAGCAAGTCATGTCACTCTTTGGGGGCTCATTTTCTTTTCTGTGAAATGGGGTTAATTATACTCATCTTTCAGTTTTGTCAAGCCCGATTTCTGTTATTATTTCTCCTTATTACTGACTCATAAAATAGCAAAAACCACAAAACACAACTAAATTGCAACAGGCTGTACTTAACTAACAGACTTTAGAAAGGAAAGCTTATTGTGTTCTTGGAGAAAAGCTTTCAGGAGTTTGAGAAAACTTCCAGGAGATGGTGAAACTTGATCTGAGCCCTGAGAGGTCCGGAAAGGAAGAGTGGAGCAGGGAATCTTTTCAAACAAAGGGAAAGGTGGGGGTAGAAACAAGACTAGAGAGCCTGGGAGATGGTGAGGAGGGCTGGTACTGAGAAAATACAGTGAAGGTAATGATCACACCTGTGTTTTGCCCAGCGCCTCATCGTTTTTGGAGACATCTGTCCTTTGCCCACAGTAGCCTGAGCTGGGCAGGGCATTTAAGCAGAAGTCGGATTTAACTTTTGATCCTGCCTCTGTCATCTCAAGCAGCTGTAACTAGAGCAACTTATTTCACTCTTTGGGTGACTTTCCACAAAAAGTCACCAGTTAGGATGTAGCGGAGCCTGGCTTGGGTTCTAGGTTACCTGCTCCCTAGCCTGTGCCTGCAGCCCCCGCAAAAGGAGCATTTAACTTGCCGATGAGGAGAGGTGGCATGGTGGGAAAGATAAGCACTAGGAGCAACCATGTATTGCTCTGAGAGTACACAGACTCAAAATGAAAAAAAAAAATTTCTTCAACTCTAAAGCTAAAAAATGAGACCAGAAATTTCGCAGACAAAAGCCGCAAATGGAGAAAACAGTACTTCAAGCTCCACATTTGGGAACCATTAGCACAGAGGTCCTGGCTGATTGCTCTTTCCTGCTCAGGAAGCCAAGAGAGATGCTGGCCCTGAAGCACACTGGCTGGCCTAAAACAAGGGCAAGGCCTTTCCTGTTAAAGACGTTCTGGCCCAACTCAGACTCATTCTCAGGCCTGCACACACACATATAAACATACACACACACACATGTGGTAGGAAGGGGCACAGAACCTGGAATCCCGTCCAGGTTGTTCACATGCTAGGCTCATATTTCTTATTTTATATACTAGTAGGATCCCTTCCCTTATCTATGGGAAGCTCCAGCCTGAAGTTCTGCATTTGCCAGCTGTGTCATGGGACAGGTCAGTTGTCCTATCTGAGTCTCGGTCTCCTGGGCTGTAGTCAGGGAGAAATAATACCTACTGCACAGGGCTGTGGGGACGGCCCAGACCTTTATAAACCTAAGAAAGAGAAGTCATTAGGAACTGTTCACGACATTCACAGCAAGGCAACCCTATCTCCTAGGAGGACGTTGGTCCCAGTACAGGGAGCAGGAGACTTGTTTCCAGAGGCTTCCAGGCTAACTCAGCAAATCACTTACTTTCTTGGAATCAGGCCCCAGAAGAAGAGGCTATCCCAGACCTTTCCTCCCAGGAAATGATTCATTCTGTCAGCAAACATAGACTGGGGGCCTGCTGAGGGAGGCTGGTACAACCCACCACTGCTCATGGGCTGTGCAGGGCCTGGCTGTGGGCACAGGCCTGTAACTGCAGCACAACCTGAGATCTGGACAAAGGGCAGAGGAAGCTGAGACTCCTTCCCCTGGGTTGGGGCTCGAGGGGCCCAGGAGGACTCTCCAGAAGAGGTGACATTTCCACAGGGCCTTGAAAGTCAAATATGTTATTTTCCAGAGGGATAGTGGGGAGGGGGTGAGACTGACATCCTGTGATGGGCAGGCCCACAGGTGGGAAGGAGGAGAAGACGGGCAGAGAGCTTGTGCTGTGGCGCACAGTGGCCTGGCCATGAGAGAGGTGCAGGACGGAGCACAGAGGGTGGGCTGGGCAGGCTGGGCAGGATACTGATTGACAGCTACAGGGCTGCTCCGCAGGCACGGGTCATTACGTGGGTAATTGTCACACACATCTAGATACAGGAGGGATCTCTATGAATCTGGCTCTTTCCATGGCTCTGAAAACAGTCTTCTTTCTTTCCCTTGATGAAATCCTGCAGTCTGCTCCCATGTACCAGTACCTGGATAGGAAAATGTTCAAGGAAGCCTACCAGATTGCTTGCTTGGGAGTGACAGACACTGATTGGCACGAGCTGGCCATGGAAGCACTAGAAGGTTTAGATTTTGAAACAGCAAAGAAGGTAAGCATCTAGTCAGCAGGAGCTGGAGTCTGGTCCTTGAAGGGTCCCTTAAGAAGGCAGACGGGGATCCAAGTGGCATGGAGAGGCCATAGACTGCAGCAGCCTCTGGAGTGAGGCTGACCTGGGCTTGGATCTCAGCTCAGCCACCTCCTCACTGTGGGCCTGGGCAGATGACACCTTTTCTAAGACTGTTTCTCTGTAGACGTAGGGAGATGATAGGCCCCATCCTCACAAAGGTGTGAGGATCAGATGGGAAGATGCCTGTAAAGCCTGACTCAGGAGCAGCATCTCATAGATTCTGGCTGTCACTCTTATTAGCTGTTATCTATGGGAAGCACCTGGCTAGTAGCCTGGCACATCAGAAACACTCCGTAAATGGTGGCTTTTATTATCGGTGTAATCACTGGCCATGTATTACACAATGCTGCTTTCCTTAGCGTCCGCCAACTAAGGTGGGAGAGATGGTCAAGGTCTCTGATTCTGACAGCAGTGTGGGCACTTCCCACATACCTTCATGGTGTGATTCATGGACTTGATTCGTTGTGTCCTTTCCTGGCCTAGTCCATGAAAACTAGAAAGATGACTGAAAACATCTGACCCCTTTCTGCACATGAGGAAAAGCCCAGGTATGTTCCTGAGCTGTGTTTCCATCTAGAACCTGAGATGGAGGAAGGAATGGCTTCCACCCTCCTCTCCCCTACCCCTTCCCTCTTTATCTCCCCACAGTCAATTAACGAGCTGCTCATTTTGTCCATACTACTGGGCTGATATTGAAGGGGCGGCAAAGAGGGATGTGATGCCTGCCTCGGGATAGGTCAAGACTTGCAGGCATGAAGAGAGAGGAGACTGGACCAGACCAGGACTCAGAAGCCTGGCTGAGAACCAGCTGTGCTGCTAAGGGGCTCTGGGACCTCAGGTAGCTGCTTCCCTCGGAGCTCCAGTCCTCCCAGTTGTGAAATGGGTGTGGTGAGAATGCCTGCTGCAGTCCTGAGGCTTCTCTGAGATGTTGTAAAGGAGAATTTAAAGCAGGGATGGTTGTACAGATGCTAGCCATTACTAAACAAGGGAAGTGATCGTTGTGTAACAATGATCTAGATTATATTTTCAGATGTCCTCAGTGTAGTCAAGTGGAGATGGAGGAGGCTGTAAGACTTGAGAGGAGGGAGGAGGCATCTCCATGGAGGGAGCTTTCCTCTCCTGCCCCACCCAGAAGTGCCAGCAAGGAGTAGGAAGAAGACAAAACAGTGTTGCTTGTTTGCTTTGGGCACAGAATAAAACGAAAAGATTTCCCTCTAGACTGTCCCCTCCTTACACCCAGGAACCAAACAAGTACCTTATCTTAGTAACACCGCACACTGCCTAGCACAGTGCCTTAGACAGCTTGGTACTGAACAAATGTTTGAATCGATGACAACTAAGTGGGGTGATCCTCCATTTATTTCACTCCCCAGCCTGTATCCCCAAAATACTCCCTGAGAATAGAAAGGGGTGTAATAAAGCCACAAGATGTTTAAAATAACAATGTTCATTGATTTATTTTAATTGAAAAGTAATTGTATACAGTAAGTATCTATTAAGTACAACATGGGCCAGGCATGGTTGCTCATTCCTGTAATACCAGTATTTTGTGAGGCTGAGGTAAGCAGATCACCTGAGGTCAGGAGTTCAAGAACAGCCTGGCAAACACGGCGAAACCCCAACTCTTCAAAAAAAAAAAAAAAAATACAAAAATTAGCCAGGTGTGGTGGCCCATGCCTATAGTCCCAGCTACTTGGGAGGCTGAAGCAGGAGAATTGCTTGCACCGGAGAGGCAGAGGCTATAGTGATCCAAGATCATGCCACTGCACTCTAGCCTGGGTGACACAGCAGGACTCTTTCTCAAAACAAAAAAAAAAAATTAAGTACAACATGATGCTTTGAAAAAGCCTCATGATGTTGAAGACAGGCTATGAGTTGCTATTTCATCTAAATCCCGAATTCCCCACCTTTCTTTCCTCTGTGCCAGGCACTCAGGCTCACCAGCTTGCACAGGGTGGTTCCCAGTGATGGACTGCCATCGCCACTAGATGGCAGAGAAGAGCTGCTGAGCTCCTGCCAGGCCCTGAGCAGAGCTTCAGGTGCCTCCCTGTTCCCAGGCTTCCCTCTGCTGATCCCATTCAGGGGCCTTGTGACTCTGACCAAGCACCCTGACGCTGCAGGATGTGTCAGTGTTGAAAGAATTCAGAAACAGATTTCTTAGTGGGCAAATCCTAGACTCCAGCACAGCTGAGCTATAGTTAGAAAGACCCATGAGAGGGTGTCACCAGCAGGCCCCTTTCCACAAAGAAGGTGGCTGGAGCCCAGAGGCAGGGAGGAAGTAGGCTCAGAGCAAGGACTGAGACCTTGAACGCTCCTTTCCCTCTTGGTCACTGTGCTGGGCTTTGCGGGTTGCCCTCTCAAGGTGCTTTAAGGAAACCCAGAGCTAGAGGGTGGTGTGTAAAACCTGCAGCTTGGGACCCAGGCAGTCTTAGCCCTCTGTCCTTTGGCCCATGTGATGCCAACATTGCCCTTTTTTATGGATTTCTCTTCACAAACACTTGTTTGCCAGGTTCCAACTCTGATGCCTCACTTGACGCTGCCTCCCGCCCCTGCCCATGCTCAGATGGCTCATCCATATTCTCCAGGCATCTGCTTCATACTCGAGAGTTCTTAGGTGGAGGAGGTGTCATGATCTGTTGAATTGGCCAGCCTCCCCTGTTAGAATGTGGGGCTCCGAAGTGTGGAGTGGGACAGGGTCCAAGACATGTTTCTCCTTGGGTCCTCAGCCTCTGACAGGAAGCCGGGCCTATGGGATGAAAAGAAGTCGCATTTCGGCAACCCACGAGATAGCCAGAGGCTGGGGCCTCACTCATCTCCCGAGGTCTTTTCAGGAGGGAGGATGCCGTGCAGCTGAGGGTTGCTCTGCACATTTGATTCATAGGGCTCCAGAGCCACTGCCTCCTCCAGGCACAGGTCAGCCCGTTTTGAATGGGGCAGTGTAAAGAAGCACAGCTGGTAGAAATGGTGACAGCAAAGCCACCTGAAAATGTCCAGACCTGATGGCTTGTGCTCCTCCAAATCCTGGGCAGAATCTGAAAGCCACAAAACTACCTTAGCTAACAGCGGTCTGCCTGTTCCTCAGAAACTTCTAGAAGTCCATGAGTTAAAGTCTGTGGCTTTACTGTGAGTTCCAGGCCAGGGCTGCAATTTGAGTATTTACATAAGAGTTTGCCTTCCATGGACTTGTTGGCCTTCATTCCTTTCCCCTCCACCTTCTTCCGGAATCTGTCTTTGTGCCCTCTAAGCTTTCCCCTCCTCTGCTCCCTCTGGATTACCAGGGGCTCTGGGTCCCCTGTGTCTGTGGCGCCACTGGGTAGGCTTGGCTGGCCCCTGCATTCTACCCATGTTGCCAAGATGTGCAGGCAGTCTCATCAGTCTGCATCTCACCTGCTTCTGCTCTGATGCTGCCTGCACCCCAAACCCAGAGGGTCCGACCAACTTGTTCTTCTTTGGGTCAAGAGTCTCCCAACGAGGCACCGCCACAGACTGTGGCTTCATGGTTTTGTTTTACCTGATCCCAAAATGACTGATGCAGCTGGGTTGTCTTTGCTGTTCTTTGCAGGGTCCCGTCCCAGGGATAAAGCTGCGCCTCACTGGGTGGTATAACCCTGCCGTGATGCTTAATCCATGCTTGCTCTCTCCTCTCCTTACTGGCACACTGTCTAGATAGAGCTTGACTTCCCACCCGCAGCCAGTCACCCAGTTTTGAAGCCAAGAAGGCAGCTGATTTGATTCTTTCTTTCTTCTCCACAGGCCTTCATCAGAGTACGAGACCTCCGATACTTAGAGCTCATCAGCAGCATTGAGGTAAAAGATGAAGCATTCTTCCTTCCAAAGAAGGCATACTTGGGGTTCATGTTTTAGGGGGATCCCTTGTAGCAGGCAAGAGCCCTGAGAATATGGAGCAGATCTCACTGGCATCTGGGCCATAGCCTTGCTGCGGGGACAGAGTGGCCTCACAGGGGAAATAGCAGCGGGCAGTGTGAGTTGTCGCGTGGCAGCTGGGTGAGGCACATGAGTTCCAGATCTCTCCAGGCTTGGGTTTCTTATCTGTGAAAAGGATGGCATGGGACCTACCTCGCAGGCTTCCATGAGGATTCAGTAGGTCCTCTGGAGCTGGTGTGCATCCTCATGGTGGCAGATAGCTAGTCACCATCCTCCCAGACTCCAGTAATCTGCTAGTGTTGCAGGAGTTTCCTAAATGCACATGAGGTGAGCTCCACTCCCAGAAATGGACTTGGGGAGTGAGGCCCACGGTCTGAACTGAGCGCCCAGAGCTCTGGAACAACCCCTAGCCTTGCTGTTCCTGGCTGAGAATACTGGCCTTGTCATCCCAACCCAACAGGCCTACAGTGGGTAAGGAAGCTGGTTGTAGGTTCACCATTTGCTGGGTGGTGGGAGACACTATGCTTTGTTTTTTTGAAACAGGGTCTCACTCTGTTCCCCAGGCTGGAGTACAGCAGCACGGTCATGGCTTACTGCAGCCTAGACCTTTCAGACTCAAATGATCCTCCCACTTCAGCCTCCCAAGTAGCTGGGATCACATGCATGGGCCATCTGCCTGATTAATTTTCTGTATTTTTCGCACAGTCACGGTTTTGCCATGTTGCCCAGGCTGGTTTCAAATTCCTCGGCTCAAGCCGTTAGCCCACCTTAGCCTCCCAAAGTGTTAGCATTACAGACTTGAGCTACCACACCCAGCCCTTGGACACTGTAATTTCTGTATATCTTAATGCTGTCTTGCTGTGTGTAAAAAGGTATACACATTTTTTTCTCCTGCACAGATTTATTGGAGGGTATGGGAATGTGAGATACAGTTGAATTCCTGGTTGCAAACAGTGAGGAAATCAGCAAATGTCTTGTCCCTCTCATTCAGTTGTGCATAATAAACACCTGTCATGGGCCAACCCTTGTGCTGAGCTCAGTGGGCACAGAGCTGAGGAGAGAGATACCTGCAGGAGCTCACAGCCTGCTGCGCCTTATCAGCTGCTCTGTGTCGAGTCTGCTGTGTGTCCCATGCGTGACCCATGCGGGTGCTGTTGTAGATCCTCAGGTTAACTGGATGAGGCAGGTCCTGTTGCTCTCCCTATTGCATGCAGGAGGAAGCTAAGGCTCGGTGAGGCTATGCCACGTTCCCACGGGTCCACAGCCAAAAGCTCAGTGGAATTCCAGCCCAGGCTGTTTTCTGAGCTCATGTTCTGTCAGCCACATACCCTCCCCACCTGCGAGTCAGGAGGGGCATCTGTATGTTCTGGGTTTACCTACTTGCATGGTAAAGGGCTTGTTCGGAGCCATTGCCTGAAATGCCCAGTGCTGCTGACTCTCACTTGTAAATCAACTGGCCTGGATCCGGGTGTCTTCACCTGAAACCAAGAGGATAATTTTCCTCTCTACAAAAGTAACTGGTTGCTGTGGGGTCTAACTATTATTAGTCACTTAGCAAGTGACTAATGTCTGCCGCTCCTCATGTGCCATGAGCTGGGAAGTAGGTTAAACTCCTGATTGTCTCCTAAAAAAATGAAGTGCCTTCAAGTGAGCTCCATGCTGACGGCGTGGGACCTCAGTTGCACACTTCTGGGTGCTCAGCATAATTGCAGAGTACTGTGGATTCTCAGGGGGTGCCTTCTGGATAGGGGAGATGTCCCTGTCCTGCTGACAGGGGAAAGAACCTGCCCATGGTGACATGTACCTGCCGAGCACCATAGATCGTTTCTATTCATCGTGGTGACATCCTGGACTCATTTTCATGCCTGGTAAAACTTTTTTTGTTTGGTTTGGTTTGTTTGTTTGTTTTTTGCAGGGATAGTCTTGCTATATTGACCAAGCTGGTTTTGAACTCCTGGGCTCAGGCGATCCTCTTGCCACAGCCTCCCAAAGTGTAGGGATCACAGGCATCAGTCATCACGTCCCTCCAAAATATTTTATCTGACTGCAAGATTTTAAATCATTTCCAACTACTAGGAGCTAGTCTGTCTGATGAGCCTGAGCTGCGTGCAGGTTTTTAGAAAGATGATTTCTGTCAGTGTGGAAGTATGTTGCCTCCAGCTGTTAAAACTTTCACCAGCTTGTCTAAGAGCTTGATTCAATGTCTCATCGTCCTCTGATATGCTACTCTTGCTAGAAAACAAGCAAAGGGAAACTGCTGGGGCTCAGAGCTTGGGTGCTAATGACTGTTTCCAAATACTCGAGCTACAGATGAGTGAATGTTCCCTGACACAGAAGGAAGAAGTGTGCAGGATACTCCTCTATATCCTCAACTCTGCTAAGTTGTGTGTGTGTGTGTGTGTGTGTGTGTGTGTGTGTTGTTGGGGACATCACTTGCTTCAGAAGACAGTGTTGTGTGATACAAGGAATATCTGGAGTCAGACAGAACTGTGTCCTAATGCCAGCCCTGTCTGACCCCGACCTGTTCCTCCTCCTGAGTCTCAACGTCCTTCACTCTAATACTTGGGTAGTGAGACCTATCCTGAGGGTCACTGAGAGGAATGAAGGGGCCATGTGTGTATAAGGTATATACCCAGAACCTAGTGGATGTCAGTGTGTGGGATTTCTTACCTTCTCTTTAGAAGTAGGGACACAGGAAGTCTTGTCATCATATTTTATTGGTCTCCCTCTTGGGCGAAACCCTAAACATTCTCCTGCTCTGTCATCCTCATGAGCCACAACTCAGGCAAACCAGGCCTGTGGATTTGGGAGGTCCTCGGGGGTCTTGGATGAGTCTACGAGGTCTTCTGTCTTAGCCTTGGAATATACAGGAAAGCAACCCTGAGCAATTTCCATTAAACAAACAAAGGTTTGCATCTTTTTTTGATCTTTGCTTGTCTGGTAAAAACCTGCTTCTGTTGTCAGGCGTTCCCAGCGGAAACCTAGGGAGAGACGCAACAGCCAGGAGCAAGCCCAGGTTCCAGTAGGAAGGCCCAGGGGGCTCACTTGAAATAGCCACATCTAACCTTTGTAAAGGCTGCTTCCTGCCCATGGCTGCAGAGGCCATTTCCTGTGCTTCTAATTTTTCCAGGAGAGGAAGAAGCGGGGAGAGACCAACAAGGACCTGTTTCTGGCAGATGTGTTTTCCTACCAGGGGAAGTTCCATGAGGCCGCCAAACTGTACAAGAGGAGCGGGCACGAGAACCTCGCACTTGAAATGTACACCGACCTCCGCATGTTTGAGTATGTCAAGGTAATCCACCCCATCCCGGTCCCAAGCTCTGGCTTGGAGCCCACTGGTGTTCCCACCTGCAGTGTCCAGGTTGTTTCCCCCAAGAGTGGTGCAGAAAAAAACTAGCAATGGCCTCAGGAAGGATGTGGGGAAAAGGGTAAACAAAGCACCACCTCTATAGCCACTGGTTGAAACTCACCTAAAACTGACCTTTAAGGCTGACACTAAAGGGGCAGAGTATTATGGTTGAGACGTTCGTCCACAACAGAGATGGATGGCTGTGGGTCTGCACCAGCACAATTCCTTCATTGAGTCGAGGGCTCAGTGTTTCAGGGCAGTCTCCCACAAATCCTCTCAATCCTTGTCAGGAGCCACTAAGAATCGATGTCTTCAGGTGGGACCAGTCCTGCCAATCATACGGGACAATGTGGTGCACGCCAGCCAAGGTTTCCTAAGTGCCTACCAATTGTCCAGGGCTTTGCACTGGGCTTCTGGAAAGTCAGGCAGAGCTTCCACCCTCCCGTGTTAGCCCTGCATCCGTCACACCTGGCAGCTGCAGAGTGGCTACCATGCGGTTGCAGTGGGCCCCAGCCTGTCTTTTCACCTTTTGGGATAGCCCCCATGAACCCTGTCTTATCACATTGGGATAGCCCCAAGAACCCTAGTCTCCAGCAGAGCTGGGCCTTTGAAAGCAGGTGTAGGAGAGGAGCGTCCCAGAGCAGGCTCCTGATGGCTTCTGTGGGAACGAGTTGCACTAAGGAGCCCAGTCCAGTCAAGACATTTGCAGTTCAGTCTAAGCAAGGTTCAAAGAGGCTTGGGGGCATTGAGCATTGAGGTTCTTCCTTCCACAGAGGGGCTTTGTTAACCTGCCTTTTCTGGGAGTGTCAGAAGTGGCTCTCAGTATGCCATGAAGTGACTCATCAGCCACAACCGATTAGTGGCTATTAATGGTAATTCTCTAGCTCACAAGTTTAGGATGGTAGTCTTCCCCACTTTTGTCTGCTTTTCTATTCCTGCAGATGGCTGTGCTCTTCCACTATCTGTTTGATCCTGGGGCTTAAGGTGATGTTGCCCGGGACTTACTGTCATCAGCAGCTGGACAAGCTCCTGGGCCCCAGCCTGTCTTTTCACCTTAGTGATTTCTTCACTTGGTACCTGAGACCCAGGGAGTTCAGGCACCCTCTGCTGTTTCTCCGTCACCTTTTCTGCACTCTCCCAGACCCCACCACAGACACCTAGAAGATTTCATAACACATTCATACTGAGATCACCTGAGGCCGTGCATCTCTGCTTCTGGGAATAACAAAATTTTAACTCAGGATGAACGCTTAAGGGATCAAAGCCCTGGGGGCAGAATTTAGGCTTAGGGACCCCTGAAGCTTCCTCATGGAGATAGCTGTGGTGCAGTAGAAAATGCCTGGCCAGGCCGGGCATGGGGCTCAAGCCTGTAATCCTAGCACTTTGGGAGGATGAAGTGGGTAGATTGCTTGAGCTCAGGAGGTCGAGACCAGCCTGGGGAACATTTGCTGGTGCTCAGAAGTGGCTAGCCCCACTTCTACCCCTGCTCTACGACCCCTCCTTATACTCTGGTGGGCTTCATTTGCCCATAGCCTCTCACTAGAACTGTAGCCCATTTACATACTCCATCTGCTCCATCTCTCTATGGATGTAAATACTCTGGGACATGTTTTTGGTTATAGTTTTTGATCTCTGTTCCAAAAATGCAAAAAGTCCTCTACCAAAAATGCAAAAGCTTAGCTGGTTCCTATTCCCAGCTGCTGAGAGGGAGGCTGAGGTGGGAGGATTGCTTGAGCCCCAGAGGTAGAGGTTGCAGTGAGCCAAGATCGCACCACTGCACTCCAGCCTGGGGAACAGAGCAAGACCCATGTCAAAAATAAATAAGAAAATGCCTAGCCTTGGTGCCCCAGAGCTGGTGTACGTGTGGGTTCTTTCTGTGGGGTGACCTGGAGAAAAGCTCTTCAGTTTTCCAAGCTTCCCTTTCCTTCTCATGGTAATAGTCACAGCTCAGTTTAGTCTTGAGATTTGCACAGAATAATGTATAGGAAAGCATATTACAAATGCCAAACTGTAGAAAGATTAGGAAGATGAGAGGTGCCACACGTGACCACAGAGTGGATCTTCAGACCCCTCTCCTTGGCTGGCCCCACTTCTGCCCCTGCTCTGAGGCCCCTCCTTTCACTCTGGTGGGCTTTGTGTGCCCACAGCCTCTCAATAGAACTGTAGCCCATTTACACACTCCATCTGCTCCGTCTCTATGAAGGTAAATACTCTGGAACTTGTTTTTGGTTTTAGTTTTTGATCACTATTCCAAGTAGGTTGGTTCCATTTCAATCCCCCCTGCCCCCACCCAGTAGTCTGAATTTGAGAAATGTGTACATACACATTATGTGGGGGGTGGGGGAGATCCAGTGCTGATTAACATGGCATGTTTTTGTTTACTTGAAAATTGCTTCCCAGGATTCAATCTGGTTTTCAGAAAATTTTTAAATTACATTCCCACGTACAAATAAATTGTATGCTTTCCGGATAAGTGACATGTTTATATGGTGATAAAGGGAATTATAATGCTCTTAACTCTTATGTAGTATGCTCTTATCAAAATCACCAAGCATGAGAACACTGTTTAGTCTCATTCATCACTCAGCACAGTCTCTTTCTGTCCACTTCAGGGCCAAGTCTGCCATTGCCCCAAATAACATGTAAGTTAGCTTCAGGGAAGCAAAAAGCCATTGAATTCCCAATTTGCTGAGGCTTGAAGGAAGCTTTTAGACCCAGCTTCAAAGAAGTCACACCTCCCTGAGGGGCCAGCTGGGCAGGAGGAGGCTTCCGCAGGCTGTGAACTCTGTGCCTTGATGGTCTCCTTCAGGGGATGACCCAGGCTTATGGCTCCCACTCAACTTCACTCTTCTTGCCATGGGCACCCCTAGTCCCCTCAGCACTCACTGAAGTCCCTTTGGAGGACATTTCTAGTCTCCTAAGATGTTTGTTTCCCCCAACTGCCACCCTCATTTCACCAGCCAGGTAGGCAGGGTTTCCAGCTTCATGTTGGCATAGAGAATCTGCGTCGTAGCAGCTGCCAAGAGGAGAGGTGTGTCTGTAAAGGCCCAAACTAGGCGTGGTCAGTGGCTGCTTTCCAAGCTCATTCTCTTTGTCAGCTCCAGGAGAACCAAAGGCCAGCCAGGGGGCCTGTTTTCTATTGGTCCCCAGCATCAGGGCATACAATGCCCTTTCCTCCCCTTCTTAAAACATATCATATATTAGGCTGACCTAATACATGATCTCAGGAGCTACACAGTTACCCTGAAAGCAAATGAGGGAAAAAAGCAAGCTAATTGTTCAAGTGTTTTTAGCCTAAGTTGACTGTACTTTCCTGACACGTGAGCGTAATCATGGGGAAAGGAGTGCTTTTTAAAATTCTAGGTAAGGCTGACACAAAGCACTCTGCAGGGTACATTATTCCTGAGACAAACCCCTTCTTACCAGTAATGTAGACCTGGGCTGTAAGTGCTCCCAGTTTCCCTTTTTGAAAAGCTCCACCTGAAAAGCTGCCTGAACTCTGGCAAACTCCCATGTGTGCATTTTGGGTAACTACCCTGAAAAGCGGTGATGATCTGAGGTTGTTTCTCACACTCTCTAGGGCCAGCCCAGAGGGCCCCTGCTGTGGCCGAGGGAGTGCAGGCTCTGGGCCTGACCCCTGAGCCTCCAGGACCCCAGCCCTCTCTTTCTTCTCAGGTCCTCTCCTGAGCCCCTTCCCCGTCTCAATCCCCCCATGGCCTCCTGCCCTCCCATTATCAGATCAGGCCCTCACCCCTGCTGACCTGACCTCAGGACAGGATCCCTTACCATTCAGGCGAGAAGCAATTGCCCAGAGAGAGGTTTGCTTGTTATCTGTTTCAGGCAAGTGCCTAGGGCAAAGACAATGTGATGATTCCCTAGTTCAGGGCACAGAACATTTCAGGAAACAGCTGTGAATGGCATTCCTAGTGAGCTGGTGATTCAGGGAGGGCATGGAGGGCCTGCAAATGCTGTAAGTCAGTTTATTTGTGTAAGTTTAGGGGAACCCATGCTCAGCCCCACTCTGAAGCATGTGGTGTCACCCATATGATCTGAATAAAGATGATAGGTCTCGATATTTGGAATTGTGCACCAGGTTTTCTCGTTGCTGTTTAGGAATAGTCATGTATCTACCAAACTATATGTGAGAGAGAGATAGACTGACCGTGAACCCCTGCCCCTGCAGACTTCATGTGCAATACCCCAAACAGTCCAGAAAGTATTGTTTAGCCAAAGAGCAAACACCCATTCGTGAGAAGGGAAGGAAGCACTGGGGGCCAGTGTCCTTGACGCTGTCCCAGGATCCCCCAGAATACCAGCAGGGCAGCCCAAGATGGCTCTTTTCAAGACTTGGGACACCCCCTACTCAGCCTCTCAGGGACGGCCCCACCTGCCTCCTGGTTGCCTGCTTCAGCCACGTGGAGCCTGCCCTTGCTGCTAGGAGAGCCTGATGTAATGCTGGCACGGGAAGTCCTGATCCAGAGTGTTTTTGTTTGTTGTGCTTCCTCAGGATTTCCTTGGATCTGGAGACCCCAAAGAAATAAAGATGCTAATCACCAAACAGGCTGACTGGGCCAGGAATATCAAGGAGCCCAAAGCCGCCGTGGAGATGTACATCTCAGCTGGAGAGCATGTCAAGGCTATCGAGATCTGTGGCCACCATGGATGGGTTGACATGTAGGTTTTGGTCCCTGCCCCAAGAAGCATTTGTTAGAATGTCATCACATACCACCTCTTTGACTGACAAGGGAACAAATCATGCTTCTCTAATTATCTAAAGCAAATGTGATAGTGACTAGGTTCTTCAGGAGACACAGAGATTGCACAAGGTAGTGGCTGCCTTCCAGGAGCTTATGGAGTCACTAGGGGAAGGGATGGTGGGGACCAGGAAAGTGGAGACACCAGGACATCAGAGCTGCTGTTTGCTGAGCACTCACTACAACCCAGGTTCTGTGATAACCTTGGGGTTTTCCACCCATGCCATCAGGGCTCGTGTCTCCCTGCCCACCTTGCAGATGATGATACAGAAGCTAAAGGGACAAGTTATTCCCAAAGCCAGGTAGCTAGAAAGTTGTAGAGTTGAGCTTTAGCTCCTGATCTGGGCAATGTCAATGCTAACTACGTGTGTAATGGTAGGAACAAAAACACTTTCCAAATCCATCAGGGAATAATTCTCATGGGAGGAACCATGGATGTCTTCTCTTAGGAAACATTCTTTGCCATGAAGGGATGTTAAAGAATTCCAAAAAGTAAATAGAGATGGGGGAAGGATATGCAGGCAGGAAGTATAGCAGGAATAGAGTGAGTCAGCTCTGGTTGGAATAAAAGACGCCTGGGAATGAGAGGGTGAAGGACGTGGGCTGTGGATTGGGGAAAGTACGCTGACCACACTGGAAGGGCCTCTGATACCAAACCGACATGCTTAGATTTGCCAATAGCGAGTGACCGCCTATAGTCAGACACCCCTTCAGGCAGGCAGATAGAATGGAGACTAGATAACTGACTAGTATGGTAGGGCAGAAGGGAACTTGGTAGGTGAGGGCATGAGAGAGAAGTAGCAGAGTTTGAACCAAGGGACCCATTCCAGGGTGGTGGGGCAGGGGTGATTATCAGGCCAGCTTTACTCTGTGGCTGCTGGTGGGTTATGCCATTTGCCGAAGTGGACAACAGGGAGAGGAGGGGCCTGGGGTGGGGCAGCGCTGAGACAGAATGGATTCAGTCTTGGGACTCAGCACACTAGACCTCCATAGGGAAGGCTTTGTCCTAGTTAGTGAGCTTCGGACTCACTCGTGTGCACACACGCACGTGCTGCCACAGCAGGCAAAGGACATGACGGGACAAGCTTCTGAGGGTGGCTCAGCCTGAGTCCTAAAATATGTTGGTTCTCCTGGAAGCAACATTGTGGTCTACAGGTAGCAGTGGCCGGCCGGGACTTGGGGACACAGAGGAGGCTGGTTAATGATTAAGTTGTTTCCTTGAGCACTGCCATGTATTAATAATTGGCAGGTGGGCCCCTCCCAAAGGGACCTTGGTGGTTGACCTGCCACCCCATCATTTTTTGGTCTAATAACTTTTTAAGACTGAGGCACAGATTTCATTCCCCACATTTTTTAGATGAAGGGGTTCCTATAGAAGAGAGCCAGGCAGATTTAGGGTCCCCTGTTCTCTCTTCTGGTTTTTAATGTCACTTTCATTTGTAAGTGCTGTGTATCAGGTTACCCTGAGGGTACTTGAGTAATTCAAGAAACACATTAAGTGTGTTCTATTCGTTTCCCAGATGTGGCTGTAAAAAGTGCCTTTCCTCCAGGGACATTAGGTGTGATGGGTGGGAAGGTTTCTAAGGGCTGTCTATGCCGCCTTTCCCTAAATATGTGTCCTTTTTCTGCTGTACAGTGTTATTTTTAGATGCCATTATTATTCTAAGTGCAGATTGACAGGCCTCTATGCTTTGCCTGCCTCTGAGACAGGGATCCATTATAGCTGCTTCTCCTTCCTTTCTCATCAATACTAGCTTGGGTAGAACCCTTTCTCTTGGGAGAATTGGTTTGACTCCAGATTCCAACCTGTCCAGAGAGCAAGCACACCCATCCAAACCTCGTGTCTCCATGAGCAATGGGAGGGCCGCTGGCCACAGGGAAACAGTGGTGAGCCAGTGGGTCCCTACGGCTCCTCCCTTTGGTCAGCACCTTGGCCAGGAGGACAGGGAAGACTTCCTGCAGGCTTTTGTCCAGAGCTCAGAGCAGCCCCCTACTCACTTATTCCTTTAGAGGACACTCATTGAGGAATTCTCACGCCTTGGCCTCCACTTTGCTGTAAGAATTCCTGCACCAGTGGTAGGAAGAGCGCTGGGCCACTTCCTGGCTGCTGAGTCGGGCTGGGTGCTTCACTTTCCCCCCAGACTTTAGTCTTCTCATCTGTAAGATGGAAAGAAATGGAAGTAAACATGCCCACCTGTTAGGGTGGTGAAGATTCTGATTTCACGCCTGGGAAAGCTCATGGCACCATCTTGGGTACTTGATTAGGGATCAGGAGATATTTGTTTCTACACCCGGCTGCATAGCTCAGTGACTTCCAAGAAAGACACATGAGGTAGCTGATAGTATCATGTAGAGGCCATCCCTCCTGGTTGCTGGTGATGTTTTTGGAGTGAGTATTCACTCCTTTAATAACCACCCACTGAGCAGCTCCCAGGGGCCACGGCAGGGTCTCAACACTGGAGATTGCAGAATGAATGGAGGTACGGCCTGCCCTTGACAAGACCCAGAGCCCCCCAGCCACTTCCTTCCGTCAGGCTTCTTCACAGGGGTCCCTCTCCTACGTGCCCCTTCCCTCTCCAGGTTGATCGACATCGCCCGCAAGCTGGACAAGGCTGAGCGCGAGCCGCTGCTGCTGTGCGCTACCTACCTCAAGAAGCTGGACAGCCCCGACTATGCTGCCGAGACCTACCTGAAGATGGGTGACCTCAAGTCCCTGGTGCAGCTGCATGTGGAGACCCAGCGCTGGGATGAGGTGAGAGGAAAGCAGGCCTCATGGGCTGGGGCCCCACTTGAGCCCTGGGACACAGGCAGGTGGGTACGAGGACCCTTTGGGGTTTACGTGGAGAGAAGCTGCCCCCATGATGGAAGGAACATTGGGCTGGCAGTCAGACAACTTAACTTCAAATTCCCTGAGCCAGAGAATCATCGAGGGCCTTTCCACGTGTTCCTTCCTTCAGTCATTGAGAAAATTGTTATTGACTGCCAGCTTTGTGCCAGTGAGGTGACAGGCACCAGGGATGAGTGTGAACGTGACAGCTCCAGTGCCTGCCATTGGGCTGAGCTGCCTCTGACCAGCGCCACAGGCTCAGACACATGGCTGATGTGGAGACGCACCTGCGTGACATTTCAAACCTGCTGAGTGGCATTTTGGCAGAAAGCGCCATCTGTGCTTTCTAGATCCAGATTGCGAGAGCCATTTCAGGGGCCGGTTTTTTCCCTCCCTTCTCTGCCTGTACCTCCCACAACCCACTACTTCTCTCTCTGGTGTCGGCAGGTGTGAAGAATTAGCCAGGCCAGTGAGAAAGGTGGCCAGCCTGAGGCTGGCAGAAGCAGCTGATGCTGCCCCTTCTGTGGCTCGACCCCTATTCTCCAGCTCACTATCTCCCCGTGCCCTGCAGAGAAATCCATCCCCGAGAGGATTACGAGCTGTGCCAAGACCCTCCCCTGACTCACTCATCTACCCATCATGGTCCATTTTAGAGTGAAAGCAAAGCCTTCATTGGGAGGAGCTGTCTGACTCTTGTCTGCCCTCTGAATGGCTCCATTTGGTGAGGTGATGAGGTTACTGATGAGAAAAGGTGGGGCCAGGGCCAGAGGCAATGGTGGCTTCTCAAGAGAAATTTATTAGACTTCTCAAGCAGCATAGATTAGAGCATCTTCGAACACTCAGACCTGGCTGTGCATCAGGCTGACTTTCTCGCCATGGCTCACGTCCGGTTCTCCTGGCCTGATAGGTGGTTCTGGGGCTTAGGTGAGAAGCAGTCGTGGGTCCACACAGCACGAAGCCCACAGTCATCTTTGACAACTGATAAGAAGTGGTGATGATGATAATGTCAATTCTGTTTCCTTAGGTGTCGCCTGCAATTAAAAGAAATCTGTTTGCAGCACTACAGGAGCCCACGCAAACCTCAAAATAAAATGTTTCTGATTCTGTGCCGCTTCTGTAGTCCAGAAACAGACTGTGTTGTTACTGAATCCAGTCGCTTGCATATTGCTGTTAATTGCCTTTTGTTTTCGAAGAGCTGATTTGTTTTTGCGTTTCTGTGGGTAGTTTTTGGGGGGAGGCACTCTCCCCTTCTGAGTTGTAAGGCTGGCAAAATACGACATCCCTAATGAATTCAGCCAAGTGCAGTGTTTTCACGGGGGCTGCAGGGACAGCTTTGTTAAGACTTCATTTTCTCCTTTCCCCAGGCCTTTGCTTTGGGTGAGAAGCATCCTGAGTTTAAGGATGACATATACGTGCCCTATGCTCAGTGGCTAGCAGAGAACGATCGCTTTGAGGAAGCCCAGCAAGGTAAGCAACACAGACTATCACCTTCTAAAAGGAGGAGAAGTCACTGCCAAGACATACATTTCAGGAAGGCTACACGCCCTTCCTGTCTGCATGTAGATCCCAAGATAGATGACTTCATCCTGGGGATGTGATTGTTTGGTGGTGAAATACTGTGGAGCATGGAAAGGCCATGGGCTTTGGAATCACACCCTCCTAGGCCACACTGACTTGCTACAGGCCCTTAAAGGGTGCTGCCTCCTCTCCAAGCCTCTGTGGTTACTGAGCAAAGTGCTGTGCACTGCAGCGTATCTTCCCATTTATCCTCCCAATAGCCCTATGGTGTAGCTACCATCATTATGATTCCCATTCTGCAAATAGGAAAACTGAAGGGTAAAGTGGTGAAGAAATTTGCCTTAAGTTTCATAGCTAGGAAGTTACAGGAAGGTAATGGTGAGCCAGGGTGCCATGAGGACAAAAAGTGAGGACTGCCACACAGTATAAAGCATGGTCTCACCTCTACTTTCCTCTGCCAAGAATAGAAACTCAGCTTCTGTTTCTGGCTTAGATAAACAGGTGACCTCTGCTCCTCAAGATTTCCATTGGTAAAATGGGCTGCCTACAACGTACAACAACATCTGAAATAGGAGCCAAAGCAAGTATAGAGCTTTTTTTGATGTTGTTAATCATATTTTTTAAAGTTGACTGCCCTCTCTCTGTTAGACCCTGGCTGAGCACTTAACCTACGTAACCTTGAATCTTGCCAACAGCCACGCAGGGACGAAGAGACTAAATGTGCGATGCCAAGTCACAAATCTAGTCAGCAGCAGAGCCAGAATTGCACCAGTACCTCTCTGACTGGGGAATCTGATTTCTCTGTTTTGCTGCCTATTTAGCCTTCTAATTGAAGTTGGGTGTTTCATGTTCCGCAGCATCTCATTTACACTTCTATATGGTAACAGTTGCCACCTCCGGACACATTGCAGAACAAATGTCTCCATGTTGGAGCTCTTCAACCAAAAGCCCTCGCTGAAGGACAGCATATTCTCTGCTGCTTCAGCATTTCCAGAGCACCCAGTTGCTGAAGTATCTTCATGTTTGGGCAAAACACATCAACCTATCCATCTGTCTGTGTCTGCCCTTCCAAGAATCCATCACCATAGTAACTTGGTAGTCAGACAAGAGACTGTAGATGAGAATGAAACAAAGGCCAGACCTCCTCCTTCTCTGAAGGCGGAGGATTAGGATCATCTGAGTGCCCATATATGGCAAGTGTCACGGCTACAAGTGCTTCACTGGCAGCCACCAACATCTCAAGGGGCTGACCACATAGTAGGTACTCAGAAAATATCTGTTAAAAAGTATAGGAACATTTGAGAGAGATATATATTTTTTGCTTGTTTCACAAATGGTTGTGAGAACTGAGGCAAATCTTCAAAGTAGTTATTGGAAAGCAGTCATTTGAAGACAAACAGGACTTGAGTTGGGCTTGGTTCTGGGTCCTTGGGTATGACACTTTACCTCCATCTTGCAAAGCCCATTCATTGCTCATAAAAAGGGGGATAATTTTCTTTCTATATAAGTCTGTGGTGAGGATTCAGTGAGGTGATTAGCAACAAAAGCATTTGGTAAACCTCCAAATGCAGTAAAGTGGCAGGTCCTGTTTGTGTCACCTTAAGAGTCACCAGACTTTGCCCTGGAATTTGGCCCCTCCAGTTTTCCTTTCTGCCATCCTTTTCATAGTTGGTCGCCTTTTCCCAGCCAAAAAGGAATATATCTCACTGTACTTTTTCCAGGATGTAGCCTTGGTTATTTAGAGAAGCGGCATCCCAGCAACGAAGCACTGCAGATGCTCCAGTGAGTGTCCTACTTCCAGGGCAGCCCATGCAAGCCCCACAGAGCTCCATCCTGCCTCCTGTGTGCCTCCCTAAATTGCATGTGCTTTTGTCCTCTTCCCCACCCCTCCTACAGCATTCCACAAGGCTGGGCGACAGAGAGAAGCAGTCCAGGTGCTGGAGCAGCTCACAGACAATGCTGTGGCAGAGAGCAGGTTTAATGATGCTGCCTATTATTACTGGATGCTATCCATGCAGTGCCTCGATATAGCTCAAGGTGTGTAAACATCAGCCAGACCACTGTTTTCCCAGGCCCTGCTCTGATACCGAGATAAACATCAGAAGACCTGAGACATTTTAATTAAAGCCCTGGGCTTGTTTATTGGGTGTATTGTCCATAAGCCTGCCTTGCAGTGGCATAATGTGGTGTGTTATCTTCTTCCAGTTTGTCCCTCAGAATGGTATGAGGGCCATCCAAAGGTTACGGTTGGCAGGTCCAGCCCTGCATTGCTAATTCAGAACATGTCTCTCCCCTGCTACCTGGGAGGCCGTAGCTGGATCTGGGTGAGCACTGGGTTTTAAAATCTTTTAATTAAAGGAGAAGATGAACAAGAGATGGCTTTGCAATAGCACACTCCAGATTCTTACTCATCCCAGCCAAGAAAATAGTTTCAATGTTGCTTTCTTTCACAAGACTTCCTATGATGTACTGAGGGCGTCCTGGAAATGGAAGAGACAAGGAGATGTTCTTCATTGGACAAGGCCACATGCAGGGGTGGGAAAAACACTGGAATGGAAGCCACAGGTGACTTGTAGCAAGTCACAGTAATTCCTGAGCTCTGCATGCCCATCTGCCCTGTGGGAGTACCCTTGTCCTAGTCCCTTTGTAAAGTTGCTGGGAGCCTCACAGAGCCATGCTTACAGTTTGAAAATTGTCAAGCCCAGGTGTAAGGTGGCATTTTTCCATTCTGGCCAGTGGCTTATGCTTCTGATAGAAGGAGCAGAGGGACGAGGCATGAGATGAGCATGAATGCAGTTGGTGTCTGCCTGCCCTTGTCCCAGCAGGCTCTTCTGACATGTCTGGGGTTGTGCTACAGCTGTCTTTCCCCCAGGGGAATAACCTGGGAGGATGCATTGAGAGATATGGAAAAAATAACCTCAAACTCCCTAGCCTTATGCCCTTCCCACCTAAGACTTCACCATCTTGGAGTGGCCCCTACTCCTAAGCAGAGTGCCTTTCTCATCACTATACTTTGTCCCTCACCCTGGCACAGACACTGTGTGGTGGGAGAACTGATGCTGGCCAAAGTGCTGTTGCCTGGCCCCCTCCTCCTGCGGCCAGGTGGCAGCCACAGACATTGTTTGACACTTTGCCCTCCCACCCACTACACACAGCAGATCCTGCCCAGAAGGATGTGATGCTTGGCAAGTTCCACCACTTTCAGCGTTTGGCAGAGCTGTACCATGCCTACCATGCCATCCATCGCCACACGGTAAGGTGACTGGGTCACTGGCCCTTAAGGGTACCGTCTGTTGAGCTGGGGGCCCCAGGCATGTCTAAAAAGCAGCAGACTAGATGGAAAGTAGCCCACTGGTCACAGTGAACTGCTGAGGACTCTTGGTCTCCTCTGGGCAGAAAACGTTTGGTTTTCCTTGATTGACTCTTTGTCTGCCGTGCATCAAGCAGTGGGCTTCTGAATTATAAGCCAGAGCTGGAATGGATCTTGCTAGTTGCTCAGTGCAGGCTTTGATGACTCAGGCAAATTCTGCATTAACCAGCAAGTGGGGTGGGAGTTCCATGAGGCCCTCTTCTCCAATAAGGCAAAGGCCCAGATTAACCAAAGGTTCGAGTTCCCTTCCTGGCCCTGCCAGTGGTTCTTCAGCAAGTCACTTTCTCTCTCTGTCCCTAAGTTTCCTTCTCTGTGAAACAAGAGTGTTGGCTTGGTCTCCAGAAACTGAAGTAGTTCTTTTTAGTCACTCCCTAATTCCTTTGAGAAAGCCATTTTAAATCTATCTGGTGGCAATGGGGAACGGGTGATGGATTGTCAACAGCCTCTTCATCCACTGTATCTCCTCAATCACCCAACAGATGTTGAGCACTTAGTACCTAGTAGGCAATGTACTGAGGGCTTCATTGTATCAAGTCATTTCCTCCTTTCAACCACACTTTGAGGAAAGGACTATTGCCCTCATTTTACCAAATGACAGTAAGGCACTACCCAGAGGGGTCTCACAGCAAGTTGGTGTAAAAGTAACTGCAGTTTAAGACTGTGGATTTAAAATCATTATAACTAGGCTGAAACACATCTTTATTAATCAAATTAGGAACCATTATGATCAACACGTTTTTGCCAATGAGAAATAAGTTTATTACTGTAGCATGAAAATCCATACATCGGGATTCAGTGAACTCTTGGAAAGTATTTTCTGTATCCTGCTGGTTGTGGAAGCATTTTCCCTGCAAAAAGGTGTTAAGATGCTTGAAGAAGTGGTAGTTGGTTGGCAAGAGGTCAAGTGAATATGGTGGATGAAGCAAAACTTCGCAGACCAATTTATTCAACTTTGGAAGCTTTGGTTGTGTGACGTGCAATCAGGTGTTGTGGAGAAGAATTGGGCCCTTTCTGTTGACCAGTGCTGGCTGCAGGTGTTGTAGTTTTCAGTGCAGCTCCTCAATTTGCTGAGGAGCAATGTAATCGTTTCACCAAGATTCCGAAAGCTGTAGTGGATTAGCAGCAGACCACCAAATAGTGACCATGACCTTTTTTTGGTGCAGGTTTGGCTTTGGGAACTGCTTTGGAGCTGCTTCTTGGTGCAGCCACGGAGCTGGTCATCACCAATTGTCATATAAAGTCCACTTTTTGTCGCACATCAATCTGATTGAGAAATGGTTTGTTTTTGTTGTGTGGAATAAGAGAAGACAACACCTCAAAATGACTATTATTTCATTTTTGATCAGCTCATGAGGCATCCACTTTTTGAGCTTTTTTACCTTTCCAATGTGCTTCAAATGCCGAGTAACCAGAACGGTCGATGTTGAGTTAGTCAGCCACTTCTCATGTGGTTGTAAGAGGATTGGTTTTGGTGATTGCTTCAGTTGGTCTTTGTCAACTGCTGAGGGCCGACCACTATGCTTCTCATCTTCAAGGCTCTCGTCTCCTTTGCAAAACTTTTTGAACCACCACTGCACTGTACATTAGTTAGCAGTTCCTGGGCCAAATGCACTGTTGATGTTACAGTCGTCTCTACTGCTTTATGACCCATTTTGAACTTGAATAAGAAAACCACTCGTTTGCATTTTGTCTAACATCATATCCATAGTCTAAAATGAGCATAAACAGCAAGTAATAATAACTCCTTAGCAGAAAAACAAAGCGAGAAATGCCCATTGAAATGATGTATAACATAACCACATTTAAGAATGTATTCCAATATCAAACAGCAAATTCCAGAGCCAATATGTGAGTCTTAACAGGCTGGCACTGGAGCTTATGTTCCTAGCCTTTCCCTCCCTCTCTCCTTTTAGAGAAAGCAGGCTCGTATGTTGATTTAGTGGGTAAACTCAAGAGTCCTCACACACAGATGACACCATGTTATTTATCTTCTCTGGCCTTTAGCCTTCTTCTCTATAAAACAGGGATAACAGCAGTATCTACTTGATGGGATTGTTGTGAGGATTAGACAAGTTAATATTGGAAAAGCACTTAGAAGAGTACCCAGCGCAGAGTGACCCTAGGTGGCAACTATCCTTCCTGCTGCTCCAGGCAAGGCTTCACACCAGCTTTCCCTGGCCTGCTTCCTCTGGCTGGGCATCTAGCATTTCTCTTTTTTCAGAGATAAGGTCTCTGTCACCCAAGGTGGAGGGTAGTGGCATGATCATAGCTCATGGCAGCCTCAAACTGCTGGACTCAAGTGATCCTCCTGCATAAGCCTCGCAGAGCACTGGGATTATAGGAGTGAGCCACCACACCCAGCCTTCTTGCAGTTCTTTGACCTCTCAAATGCCCTGCCTTTCATCCTGGGCACTTCTTTCCCTCTAATCTGTATTGACCTCTCACAGCATATTTTTTGCATCTTGGGAAGGTCTGGCAAGAAGGACTCCTCCGACAGGCTCTGTGCAGGCCAACCATCAATCTAGTGTCACATCTCTACCCACAGCAGGGTCAGTGTTCTCAAGGGACCTCATCTTCCCTTACAGTCTTTGCCTTTCAAAACGAGCCCCACTCAGGGTTCCTCATTTCTATCAGGTCCTCACCTGGAGAGAAGCTACCACAAAAGGAGCCCAGACTCAACTTAGGCTAGAAGTCAGGGCCCAGCTCAGCCTCAGTTTGCCTAAGCCACTCCAGAGCCTGGCTCTCAGCTCCTTCCCTCAGACTTTTCTTTTCTTTTTTGTTTTTAAGTTGGGGTTTCACCATGATGGCCAGGCTGGTCTTGAACTCCTGACCTCAGGTGATCCACCCACCTTGGCCTCCCAAAGTGCTAGGATTATAGGCGTGAGCCACCATGATCGGCTCCCTCAGACTTTTCTCCTGCTGTTTCCTGTCCTCTTCCTCACCTGGGGCGTGAGGCTGAGGGCTCCTCTCTGTAACAGCTGAGCTCTGCTCCAGGACCTACATGGGGCTGGGAGCCAGCGGGGACCCTGGCTTTTAGCTGAATCTTCCTCATTGGGTCATTCCTGTATTCAACAAATGCCTACTGTGTGACAGACCCTGTGATGAGAACTGGCAACATAGTGATGGACAAAACATTGTCCCTGCAGTCAATCCTAGTCTAGCAAACAAAACAGTCCCTCAAGGGAAAAGCCTAGAGGCCTGTAAAGAGACTTCCTGGAGGAGGTGGCCCCTCAGCCAGAGGAAGGAGACAAGTAAAAATGGGGCAAGTGAGGTGGAGGAGGAAAAGGAAAATCACTGTGGCAAAGGTCACAGCCTGTGCAAAGGCCTGGAGGTGAGTGGTAGTTTGTGGTTCAGCATCCAGGGCCCAGCAGAGCAGCACTGATTCAGGGCAAGACTGGAAAGGGAAGTTTCAGGTCCTTCCTGGATACATAGCTTCTTTCCCAGAGGAAAGGTCTCCCCTCCTACCTGTTCTCTCTGGAACATTACTTAGCTTCCCTACCTAGTACAATATAACCAGAGGCAGACCTCATCCTGGTTCTTACCCTGTAAAGGATGTAATCTCAGGTTTTCTTAGGTTCTTGGAGCTAACAGAAGCTATAGAAATTGAAGTGGGAATTACGGAGAAAATGCTAAGCTCTAAACTGAAGAAGTGTAGAGCAAAGTGAGTCCTCAGAGTGTAGACCAATTAGGGGAAGCTTTGGTGGCTCAGTGATGAGTAGAGCCTCACAAGACCCTTCAGGAAATGTCAGTTTATTACCATGTAAGTGCTCACAAGAAAGAGGAGTGGCTAGACTGCTTTAATCCTCACCATCTAAAGCCTTATTAGAAATCCACAATCTCAGTTTATAGACAGTATGCCACATGCCTTCAAAATGAGATCTTCTTAACCTTTTATAGACCCCGCATAGAAAATTCCCTATTTGTCTGCTGAGCTTCTGGCAGCCTCTAGGTACAGAAGACTAATCATTCCACTCATATGTGCTAAGCACCTCCTGTTAGGGCCTATGCCAGGAGCCAGGGAAATGGGTCAGCAGTTGAGGAACTCTGCATGTGTGCTCATTTGGTGGCACATCAGCTAGGCTGCTGTTGGAAAGAACAGAAGAGGCCTATGGGTTCATGTTGAAGAGGGCTAAGTGCCTCTGTTGAAAGACAGGCTTATATGGATCAGGGGTCATGTCCTCAGTCGCATAGAAAGTCCTCTCTTTTAGAGCTAAGAGGAGACAACTTGAGTTCAGTGAAATGGAATCATTACTAACTCCAGAGGCAGTACAGCTTGGAAGACATTGTTGGGCTTTGGAATCAGACCTATGTTTGAAACACAGCTCAGCTCTGTTCTAGTTGGTGACTTGGGCAAATCATCTATCTAGGCGTCAGTTTCCTCATCAGTACTGTGAGGATAAAAATGCATGCCAAGAGGTTATGTCTCAACAGATGAGACAGTGGCTGTATGGTGCCCAGCACACAGTAGGTGCTCAATAATCAGGGTCACTCTTGTTGATGTCACTTTGAATTATTGGTGTCTGCCTTCTGGCCTAGCCCAGCAGCAGCTCAGTTGAGGGACTCAGTTCCTGTTTGCTTTTCTCTCACGGCAGGAGGATCCCTTCAGTGTCCACGGGCCTGAAACTCTTTTCAACATCTCCAGGTTCCTGCTGCACAGCCTGCCCAAGGACACCCCCTCGGGCATCTCTAAAGTGTATCCTTTCTCTTACCCCTCCCACAGCCCACCCCTCTTGTCTAATGGCCCCAAGAAGTTCCTTCTAGAGCACATTCCTGGCAGAACCTTCCTCTCTCAGCAGCCCTCAGAGAAGAGAGAGAGCTCACCCTCCCTCTGCTGTTTGGCTGTAGAGGCTCAGCAGGGAGGCCCAGGGGCCTGGGCCAAGAGAATAAGAGTTTTCAGGGCTCTCTGAGCTGAGCCCAGCAATAGATCTCTGGCCAATACACTGTCCCAATCCCTCCTAGAACTCACAGATGAGAGAGTGATTGTAATGGAAGAAGCACCAGGCCTTTGGGCTTGGAATCTTGGGCACTTCCCCAGACTGGGGAGCAGGGAGCGTTTGTTCAGCCCAGGTGTACAGAGCAGCTGCTGTGCCCTAATCCCCAGGCCAGGTACCAGGTGACAAAGCTGCCATCAAGGGTGGAGGTTGTTAGAGCCTGGTCCGGTGGATGTGTGCTGTGTCTCAGGGTGCAATGAGGCTGAGGTCAGGGCCGTGCTCAGGGAAGGGTACCTGGAAAAGGTGCTGTCCGTCATACAGGCCAAGGCAGCCAGAGAAGATGGCCAAATGGATGTTCCAGGGGAGAGCCCAGGATGTAGAGAGGCAAGCGAGGTGTGTGGGAGGAGGTGAGGGGCCCTGAGTGAGAAGGGCTGGAGAGGCAGCAGGGCCTGGGCCCTGAGGGCCTACCTTTGGGTTTGCCTCTCCTTCTATAGCCAGTGAGGGCCACAGTGGGGCCATAAACAGAATGGGGGCCTGAAGGGCCTGTGCAGTCAGATACTGGATCATTACCAGGCAGTAATCCAGATCTTTAAGGTCTTAGATGTCATAAGACATGATTGTCCCTGTTATTTTCTAAGCCTCACTGTACTCTCAGCTCTTTCCCAGCCCCAGCCCCGCCTGCCCGCTGTAAGGAAAACCCACTCCACTGGAGAAGGCCCAGAGCTGCTTGTTGTAAGAATTGGCTTCTCTGGGGGATTCCAGGCCCATCGTTTCCATTTCAGGGGAAACACCCCCAAATCAAGGGGTGCCTTCCTGGAGTAATACCCCTGCTGCAGGCGTCTCCGTCTTGCCCCATAGGAGCAGTCAGGGCCATGCCTGTGGGGGCTGAGCACCTGTACCCACCGTTTCTAGCAAGTTCAGTTTGAGTCAACAGCTTGATGGAACCCCTGCACTAAGCCTCACCCTGTGCCATCCCCTGGGGACCTGGAAATGGTTCCTGACAGTCCCTGACTTTGAGGAGTCATGGTAGAGACATAGAAGGACATTCTCCACAGAACTGCTGAAGTGGACGGGGCTGCACTGTGGAGGGCAGGAGCAGGAGCACTGGGAGGGAGGTGGGGAGGAAGGGTAGGAGGGCCTGGGCACAGCCGGCATCGGAGGTGACCTGAGAGGGGAGCACAAAGGCTCGTCAGCCTCTGGCCAAGGAGCTTTGAGGCTGTGGCTCAGAAACCGCCCACAAGGCCTTCAGGGGGACGGGCAGGTAGAGGGATGCACCAGGGGCCTCAGTAGAGCAAGGGCTGAGGGTGGCTCCCCAGGGAGTCTGGGACCAGACCCCACCTGGCAGGGCCCAAGCAGAGTACCCTTGGTGCCAGGCGTCCTAGGAAGGCCTGGCTAGCAGGCTTGGTGAGGCAGGAAGAGCCATTTTGGCTTAGTCAGGGTACAAGACGAGCCATCAGCAGGCCCAGAGATGCTAAGCAAGGTTAAAGTATTAATGGAAACTCCACTGTCTTTATCTCTGGAAAAATCCCTGGGCCTTGCTGTCCGAGAAATACACTCACCTCTCACAAGTGCCCAGAGCCTTCCTCACGCTCTATCCTGTGCCCTCCTGGCACCAGCATGAGCTGTGTTCCAGCCTGGGGCTCACTCCAAAGATAGGCAGTCTCAGCTCCTGGGCCTGGTGCTGCCCCTGCTGTCCTTAACCCTGTTCATGGCAGGAAAATACTCTTCACCCTGGCCAAGCAGAGCAAGGCCCTGGGCGCGTACAGGCTGGCCCGACATGCCTATGACAAGCTGCAAGGCCTGTACATCCCTGCCAGATTCCAAAAGTCCATCGAGCTGGGTACCCTGACCATCCGTGCCAAGCCATTCCACGACAGTGAGGTGAGGACACAGCACCCTTGGACAGATGGCTTCTCCTCCTCTCCGCTGAGGCCATCTCATGACCACTTGCCTTGTTTGGGTTCTGTTTGAAGAGACAGGCTGCAGCTCCCTCCAGGCTCTGTGCCCTCAGCTCAAGCCTGGCCATGCCAGCTCCCCGGTGCTTCCCTGTCTACCTCGTGTTCTCCTTGCAGCCCACTGTGCACCAACCCCAGCCTGGCCTCCCTTGCTTCTTCCTTCCCCTAGGCAAGCTCTGCACCTCCGTGCCCAAGTGGCTCTGCCTTTACCCCAAGCCTGGCTGCAGGGCTGACCCTCACTCTAAAAACCCCTTCCCTTTCTGTGGTTCTCCAGCAAATCCACCCCATGTTCTCTGCAGCCCAGGTCTGTGCCCAGCCCCCTTCAACCCAGCCAGCTGCTTTCTTTCATAGACCTTCCCTCAAGCTCAGAGCAAGCACTTGTTTCAGACAGACTTGGGTTCACATCCCAGCTCCACCCTTTCCTACCTCTGTCTCCATCTTTCTGCACCTTGGTTTCTCCCTTTCCCGCAGGAAAGTAGTTGTGAGGCTAAATTAGTCAGCACAAGCCATGTGCTCTGCACGGTGCCTGGAGCATGGTAAGTGGCTGGCCAATGGTGGCAAGTCACTTTCATTCCTGCCAGGGGAACAGTTCTGCTGAGTACTGTCTGTGGAGGTGTCTTGGGCAGGGGGCCCCAAGTGACAGGGCTTGGGGACTGGCAGGCCTTTCTCCTACTTCCCCATAGCATGGAGCCCCCAGGCCCAGTGCCCCCTCCCTGCCTGCCCACCTGGGTGGCCTTTCCTCTTGGCAGCCAGGCCCCAGGGGGAAGAGGACACATGCCTGCCCCAGCCTGGCCCCTCGGGAGTCCGTGGCTGTTTTGTAGGAACTGGTGCCCTTGTGCTACCGCTGCTCCACCAACAACCCGCTGCTCAACAACCTGGGCAACGTCTGCATCAACTGCCGCCAGCCCTTCGTCTTCTCTGCCTCTTCCTATGGTGAGACCCTGTGTCCTGGGCTTGTGGGCGGAGCAGCCTGTGGACAGCGAGGCTCACTCTACTGCTTGTGGGCCTCTTGACGTTGGGCAAGGCCCGAAGGCCTCTGAATGTCCCTGTTTGTGAAATGAGGACACTCTGACACCCACCTGCTTGACACAGAGTCACTGTCAGTGTTCCCAGAGATAGGACCCACTGCTGCCCAAAGCTGAAGCACCCACTCTGGGAATCTGGTACAAGGCTTTGCATAACGAAATGCCCTAGGACAAGAGGCCAATAGCTTTGCATTCAGACCGGGAGGCTGAGATGGGTTTTCAAGGCCCAACTCCTTTGATGTTGACAGGGGATCAGAAGCCTCTTCCCAGGAGCTGAACAGAGGCTACACACACATACAGAGAGACTGCCCCTGCACACACACAGAGACTACCCCTGCACACAGACTATCCCTACACACAAACACACACACAGACTATCCCTGCATACACACACACACAACCCCTGCACACACACACACAGACTACCCTTGCACACACACACAGAGACTGCCCCTGCACACACACAGAGACTACCCCTGCACACACAGACTATCCCTGCACACAAACACACACACGACTATCCCTGCACACACACACACAGACTACCCTTGCACACACACACAGAGACTACCCCTGTGCACACACACAGAGACTACTCCTGCACACACACACAATAGAGACTACCCCTGCACCCACACACAGACTACCCCTGGTCACACACACACAGAGACTACCCCTGCACACACACACACACACACACACACAGACTACCCCTGGTCACACACACACAGAGACTACCCCTGCACACACACACACACAGACTACCCCTGGTCACACACACACAGAGACTACCCCTGCACACACACACACACAGTCTACCCCTACACACACACACAGAGACTGCCCCTGCACACACACACAGAGACTGCCCCTGCACACACAGACTTCCCCTGCTCTCACACACACACAGACACTACCCCTGCACACACACACACACACACAGACTGCCCCTGCACACACACAGACATTACCCCTGTACACACACAGACACTACCCCTGCACACACAGACACTACCCCTGCACACACACACACACAGACTGCCCCTGCACACACACACAGAGACTACCCCTGCATACACACAGACGCTACCCCTGCACATGCACACACGGAGACTGCCCCTGCACACACAGACTTCCCCTGCTCTCACACACACACAGACACTACCCCTGCACACACACACACACACACAGACTGCCCCTGCACACACACACAGACTGCCCCTGCACACACACAGACATTACCCCTGTACACACACAGACACTACCCCTGCACACACAGACACTACTCCTGCACACGCACACACACAGACTGCCCCTGCACACACACACAGAGACTACCCCTGCATACACACAGACGCTACCCCTGCACATGCACACACGGAGACTGCCCCTGCACACACACAGACACTACCCCTGCACACACAGACACTACCCCTGCACACGCACACACACAGACTGCCCCTGCACACACACACAGAGACTACCCCTGCATACACACAGACGCTACCCCTGCACATGCACACACGGAGACTGCCCCTGCACACACAAACTACCCTGGCACATACACACACAGACTACCCCTGCTGCCTCTTCTTGCTTTTGGAGAAGCTGCCAGTGGGTTGAGAATGAACTCTGTGGTCACCCCATCTGCCCAGTTGAAAAGTTCTTTGCAAGCTAGCTGCCTCAGCCCTTTCCCCATGCCCTCCAGATGTGCTACACCTGGTTGAGTTCTGCCTGGAGGAGGGGATCACTGACGAAGAAGCCATCTCTCTCATAGACCTGGAGGCACCGAGACCCAAGCGAGAGGACAGACAGCGGGAGACCATAAACAACAGTATTCATGCTCTTGGCCAGAACCTATGTGTGCAGCCATATGAGGGGCCTGGGGCCAGGCAGGAAGCAGGAGGACCCAGGCCCAGGGGATAGCAGGCCATGCTGAGCCTGGCCCTGTGTCCCTAGAGAGATTGGAGAGGCCCACATGGGATAGACAGGGATCAGAGGTGGGCAGAGAGCTGGCCAGGGCCTGAGGAGCCAGAGTGGCAAGTGGCACGTTGGTCTTCCCGTGTGGTTCTCCCACTCTCCCCTAGCCCCTAAAAGGCACTGGCTGTGCCTCCATGCATAGCTCCTACGTAGCTCACATGGGATATGATGTCAGTGTTGGCCCCTAGCTCTTCCACTCAGGTCACTTTTGCATGCAGGTAGCACAGTTCATGACTGACAGGCTGAACAAGTGAAGGGTGTGCAAAGAAGCCCTGAGGAGAGGCAGCTCCGTGGCCCAGCGCTCACTCCGGTTGGTCACAGGCTGGCTCTGCCTCTCTTGGCTGCACTGTCCTCTGGGGAGCTTCATTTTTTGGCAGCACCATGGTGCCCCTACAACATAGAGATGCTGGGAACCCCACATCCCCTAAGCCTCATCACCCCCAGAAATGGCCGGCTCTCCTCTCAGCTGTGGTAGTGACAGCCCCAGGGCATAGCTCAGCCTGCCCCTTTGGCCAGGAGGACACACTGTTGTCCAGGCCAGGCCACACTTGGAGGCTGGTTTCTTGCAGGGAACAGCACACACATGGCCTGGGGCCTCGCTCCCTCCCACTGGTTGAGTCTACAGGCATAGGGGCTGTGAGGCTGCCTTTCCTGCAGCTCCCATGTGCTGCATGCTGCCACCTCCAGGGGCCACACTGGGAGGAGGGAGGCTCAGAGAGAGCTTCCCATCTTGCTGAAGGAGAGACAGATCCTGCTCTGCCACCCAGGCTCCCGCAGGTGCCACAGATGATGTGGGCTATGGTGTTGGCATGTGGGTGCTATGCCAACTCCAACTTGACACTAGCAGTCTCCATGCCCTGGGCCTCCCTTGGGGACCCCTGCTGGTCTCTGTCACCAGCTCCATCACTGTGGGAGAGGGGCAGTTTCTGGGGACCTCCAGGTGAGTCTGACCTGGCCTGGGGTCAGTAGGGGCTCACCCTGTCCACTCCATCACAAGTGCCCGCAGATACCCCAGCAGCCGCTGAGTGTTTCTCCAGGATCCTTGGGCCCACCATCCCCCCCATGCCCACCCACAATGGCTCACAGGGCCTGCATGTGCTCCCCACAGGCCTTGGGAGCCATGGCACGCACGGCCTGCAAGAGGAATGGGTGAGGGCAACAGGGCCAGCAGAGTCCCTTCTCTACCTTCTCGGGCTGAGCCCCTATTGTTTCTCCACCCGGAAAACTGTTCCGCTGGCCTGGCTGATCTTGAGTCTTCACATGGGTGTAGGGTGGAGGCTAGGGTCTGTCTCCATCTCTTCTGATTCCATCCTTGACCAGACCCCTCCAGGCTCCCAGATTCTGCAGCTAGTGGAGACCAAGGATTCCATGGGAGATGAGGACCCGTTCACAGCTAAGCTGAGCTTTGAGGTGAGGGTGCCTCTCTGGGTGACCTGCAGGAGGGCAGCCTTCATCCCTTCTGTGCACATGGGGACCCTCAGCACAGTAACAGAAGAGGATTGGCCAGAACTTCCAGATGTGATGTCACGAGGGTGGGACAGGACCCCTTCCTTGTGGGGTGTGGGAGCCATGGCTGCCTCTGAGGGACCATGGGCAAGGGCACAGGTCTGTAGACAGGAAGGCAGCTTCAGTTCTGGTGGGAGGAGCTTGTCACTGTTGGGGTTACCTGGGATTAGGAAGGAGATCCTCCCTTGCCACTGGCAAAGATTCCAGGATCATAATCCACACAAATGTGTCACTGTGGCTGAGTGAAGACACTCTGCCTCCTTCCCGCCCACCCTGCAGCAGGGCGGCTCAGAGTTTGTGCCGGTGATGGTGAGCCGTCTGGTGCTGCGCTCCATGAGCCGCCGGGACGTTATCATCAAGCGCTGGCCCCCGCCCCTGAGGTGGCAGTACTTCCGCTCACTGCTGCCTGACGCCTCCATTACCATGTGCCCCTCCTGCTTCCAGGTAGGTGGCCACTCCAGCAGCTCACGTGTGCTTCTCTCAGCCACTTTTCCCTTACCCAGATGTCCCTCTGGGAGGCCTGGCCACTGGGAGGAGGAGCACATCCACAGCTCCAAGTTGGGAAAGAGGCTTGGCTGTCCTCGCCCCTACTTGCATTCCATGTGCATCTGAAGTAGATTTCACCGGACCCTGTACTGTCCACACCCTCCCTAAATCCGGAAGGGCCAGCAACTGTATGTGCCCTTGACCTTCACTCAGAAAACAAGAAGCCCCACAGCCCCCTCCCATCTCCCCTTCCAATTCTCAAACAAAGATGCTACAGGTCTGTGTCCAGCCCTGACCACTGCCAAGTCCCCTCCCTTTGAGAGGCAGTCCCAGCCCCAGGCGTAGGACTGACGAGCACTAGGGCTTTGGCCTGATCTTCCCTCAGATGTTCCACTCTGAGGACTACGAGCTGCTGGTTCTTCAGCACGGCTGCTGCCCGTACTGCCGCAGGCGCAAGGACGACCCTGGCCCATGACCAGCACCCTGGGGACAGTCTGCACCGTCTGCCTGCCTTGCGATCTGCTGGACTTTGAAGGCGAATAAAGAGTTAAACTGTCAGAATGCATCTCTTACCCAGATGAAGTTTGTGTTTTGGGGGGGCCTTGTGTAACCACGGAATTCCTATTTATGGCATTTCATGCCTTGTAAATAGCACCAGGAGATGAGGAAGAGAATGTACATATATTTTCTAAGGAAAAAAATCTGTTGCTTTCAGAATGGCTTTGAGTTGTTCGTGGCAGCCTGCTGGAGTCCACAGATCTGTCAGACCGTTAGCATGTACATTTTGCCAACAGATTGCCTCAATAATGACAAAAAGGCTTCTTATTTTCATCAGTGTCTGCATTTTAGCAAGTCTTCGTATTGTCTGGAACTTAATTTCCTTATGCAAAAGTGCACCTGTTTCTAATTTGATCTGAAAGGAACATTACATTTGTGTGCCCTTAACATTTAATCTAATAGAAATGGCAATATGGAAAGGGGTAGGGGAACGGGGTTTTTTTTTGTTGTTGTTTATTTTGGTTTAATGAGGACCTGTCTTGACAAGAAAAAATACCTGGCTCCAAAGAAAATGACAGGACTTTTAAAAAAGGCTCCTGTTTGGTAGCCCAGTTAAGGCTCCTATCTGGACCCTGGAGCCACCCTCTTCCGTCCACCTTCCCCAGCCCCACAGAGCAGCCCCAGCCCAGTGAAGACTCTTCCTTTTAGAACAGCTCCTTAAGCGGGTGGCTTCCATTTGAGAGTCCAGGACGCCAAGGTCCCTTCCCTCAGGCATCACTGGTGGCCGGTCCAGCAGCTTGTGGGCATGGAAGGGGCACATGCAGAAGCTGAAGAGAACTCACATTGGGGACATTTTCGGCACCAGCCACTTTCCATGCTATCTCAAGCCTCTCAGCAGCCCTGTGAAGAAAGGGTTATGATTTCCAATGAGGCTGGGGAGGGGGATGCCAGGGCCCAGGGTATGCCTTCAGCCCTGGGAGGGGCAGTCCACGGTTTGTCCAGCCCCGAGGCTCTGCCCTCTTCACCCCCACTCCACCTGCCAGAGGTGGGAAATGCAGTGCTTCATGAAGAGCCCAAGAATAGCCAAGCATAGGCAGGAGCGAGGGCAGGGCTGTCACGCCATGCTGAAACCCACCCTTCCCTCATGATGCAGTATTGATTCCTTACAGCCTGTCTGTGCAGGGGGCAGGGCAGGGCAAATGTGCCCATTGGAGGGAGGTGGACACTGAGGCCCCAAGGGGAGTGGCTGCAGAGACCCCCAATGGGAAGTGTCAGAACCAGAGCCCCATCCCAGAGCCCCTGCCTCACCCCAGACCACCACTCCTCTCTGCCTCCCTCCAAATCTCTCTGGAGATGATGGAGGAAAATAAAGGAAGCCAGACAGTTGTGCCAACAGAACTCCTCCGTCGAGTGTCTAATTACTTACCATCATGCATGCGCTCTCTCACTAAACATTTATTAATGTGTTAGGATTTCCATTAGCGCATGACTTGAACTGAAATCATTTGCATATGGCTGGGAAAAAGGGGAGAAAGAGAAAACAGCTCCAGCTACCTAGCAGTCAATCACAGTGACAGATCAGATGGTCCCTGGCTGGAGGCAAGGGAGGGTTCCAGCCGAGACTCTTGCATCCCCTCAGCCGATGAACACAAAAATGAGTGTGCTATGCCGGGCTCTGCTGCCCCAGGAAGCTCAGCTCAAGAGGCCTGAGTGGGGCCCCTGTTTAGACAGATGCACTTTCTGTACATCATCCAAGGCTGCCTCTTATGCAGGTGATGACACTGAGCCTCAGTCACGTTCTTTTTCATTCAGCAACTATGCATTCAGCCAAGGCATATTTGGTTGCACGTGGGTGCAACCTTCACACATAAACCCTGTGTCTGGCTGCTCTTCTCTCTCAGCCTGGTCTGGGTCTGAACCAAGTCCAGTCTTTTCTCCAAGGCTCAGTTTCCCCATCTGTACAAAAGGGCCCCATCCAGCTCTGACTCTGAGGTTCCAGCCTCAGTTTACATCTGTGAACAGTGCTGGATGATGATCCTTTTGACCCCTCACATGCCTATGACAAGGAAGGCACTACAGGGACCTGGTGATGCCCACTGAACTAAGAGGACACTGAGGCCAGAGAGGAGCAGCTGCAGGAGGCTCACAGCGGGGCAGTGGTTCTGGCCTGTATATAGCCTGTAGTCCCAACTACTCGGGAGGCTGAGGTGGAAGGACCACTTGAGCCAAGGACAGGAATTCAAGGCTGCAGTAAGCTATGATTGCACCACTGCATGCCAGCCTGGGCAGCAGAGAAACATTCATCTCTAAAAAAACATTTAGATAAATGAGGTAATCACTGATGGTAATGACCTGGTAAAAACTGAACATGGCTGGGTCTGGTCATTCATAGCTGTAATGTCAGCACTTTGGGAGGCCAAGGCAGGAGGATCACTTGAGCTGAGAGATACCAGCTTAGATGATATAGAGAGTCACACACCATCTGGCTGGGACTGGTCCCGATCTGTCATCTCCCAAGTGCTCAAAATTGTACCCATGTTCTTGGAAGGAGGAAGCAAGGGAGAGGCGGACTGGGCGGCCTCGAGTGGATCTGACTCTAGACCCACCTCAGGCAATTGGGGGTTCCCGGGCCTCGGTTTTCCGTCTCTCCCTAGCAAGGCTGTGAAGCCAGGAGCCCCTGGTGGCTGTTGCACAGGTGAGCAGAGGCCCCTCCTCCAAGGTGACTGCTGTGTTTCTTCCCTAGCTTGGAGTCTGTGTGCCCATGGCAGAGGCCACCACTGGGCAGGGTGCTTACGCTGGACCTCCCTGATTCTCCCCACGCAGATCCAGAACACTGGCCTGGAATGGAGACCTCGTCATGGCCCTCCCTGCTTACCACTCGCAGTGGCTGCCTATGCCATTCAGCCAATACCCAGACCCCTAGGCCTGCCTTCTGTCCCTGCCGGGCCACCCTAAGGGGACCAGCACCTCCATACCCAGCTGGTCCTCCTGCTTGCCCTGTTTGGGGGGCTCTTTTGAGGTCAGCCGCTCTGGGGAGCTTCCCAGGGACCCTCCTGGTCCAGCTTTTTCTCCTCTGGGCTCCCACGGCCCTGGGACTGGGAGAAAACTCTCATCTCTCATGGTTAGTTGCCTCTGTCAGTGCCTCCTAAAACTGCAAGCTCCTTGAGAGCAGGGACTGTGTAGGATCCATCTCAGTATCCCCAGGGCCCAGGCCAGGGCCTGGCACATAGGAGTTTGGCAAATCCTAGGGTAGAAGGGGAAGAGGAAGGAAGGAAGGAGAACTGGTCTTTATCCCTCCCTTATTGCCCCACTCTCAGCGCTGTCAAAGACCTCACGTAGCCTCGGTGACGCAGCCAGGTGGGGCTGAGTCATGTGGGGGACCAGAAGAAAGAAAGCCAAGGAAGAAGAGGAGGAGAAGGATGCTGACCTAGCAGCTCCTCTCACAGCAGTTTCTCTCCTGCGGAGGCTGAAGAGCGATTTGTGTGCTGCAAGCTAAGCCCCTAATCCTCCGAGGCAGAAGCAAAGCCTGCACCTGGGCTCCCAAAAGCTGGGACTTGGGTACCCCAAGATGGCTACATCAACCTTCAGAGACAGTCACCCCGGGGCCCTAACTCCATGCCCCACAGCTCCTCACAGCTCTTCCCAACCCTGCTGAAAGGGAGGCAGAGGGCAATGGCTCAGAAAGCCCCCCACACTCCAGCTTGGCCAACACCCACACCATGGGTTTCTCTGGACTGCCTGACACAAGGTTTGGGTGCTGGCCAGGCCTGTGTTCAAATTCCAGCTCTGCAGAGGAACTTTGACCCTGTGTGCTCCAGATTCCTCAGTGGTCAGTGGGGAGTGAGACGCTCTTCACAGCGGGCAGGAGGAGTTATCCATTCATTCGGCAAATGTTTATTGAACACCTCCTGTAGGTTGTGAGCTCAGAGGCAGTGATGAACAGGCCAGGGTGGTCCTGCATTCTAGAAAGAGATGGGAGGTCAGTCAATAAGAAGACAAATGAGGCCAGGTACAGTGGCACACCTTTAGACCCAGTTACTCAGGAGGCTGAGGTAGGAGGATCACTTGAACCTAGGGCAGGAATTCAAGGCTGCGGTAAGCTATGACTGTACCCCTGCATTCCAGCCTGGGCAACAGAGCAAGACTCATCTCTAAAAAACATTTAAAAATTACAGCCTCCCAAGTGGCTCCCAAGGCAGGAGGATCACTTGAGCCTGGGAGTTAGAGACCAGCTTGAACAATATACGGAGACCCCATCTCTACAAAAATGAAAATAAATTAGCGAGGCCAGGCATGGTGGCACAGGCCAATGGTCCTAGATATTCAGGGGTTGAAGTGGTGGACTGTTTGAGCCCAGGAGGTTGAGGCTGCAGTGAGCCAAGATTGTGCCACTGACATCCAACCCAAGTAACAGAGCAATACCCTGTCTCAAAAACGACAGGCCAGGAGCCACCGCACCTGGCCTATAACTCACACCACGCCTGTAACTCCAGCACTTTGGGAGGTCGAGGTGAATGGATCACTTGAGATCAGGAGTTAGAGACCAACCTGGCTAACATGGCAAAATCCTGTCTGTACTAAAAATATAAAAATTAGCCAGGTGTGGTGGCACACGCCTGTCGTCCCAGCTACTTGGGAGGCTAAGGCAGGAGTTCCACTTGAACCTGGGAAGAGGAGGTTGCAGTGAGCTGAGATCACACCACTGCACTCCAGCCTGGGCAACAGAGCAAGACCCTGTTGCAAAACAACGACCAAACCTGGTGGGGGTGCCTGGTGTGTAAGATGGTCAGGGGCGGTCTCCCCAAGGACATGAGTGGAAACAGAGACCTGAAGGAGACTCAGGAAGAGATTAATACTGTCAGCAACAAACATATTGATCACTTACAAGCACTCTCAATAATCCTATTAGGTAGGTGCTCTTGTCATTCCCATTTTACAGAGTGGAGAACCAAAGCACACTCTCGGGAGGGTCGGGGAGCTGGCTGCACTCAGGCTGTGTAGCTTCAGTCCAGATGTAAGGGTGGGTGGAAAAGAGTCTTGCCTGATGAGGGAGAACAGTGAAA